TGGCGCCCGGCGTATTTATTTATTTATCTATTGCTGGTCCTGGGCCTTGAACTCTGGGCCTGGGCACGGTCCCTGAGTTCCTTTTGCTCAAGGTTAGCGCTCTCCCACTTGAGTTATAGCCCCACTTCTGGCCTTTTCTGTGATTAACAGGATATAAGAATCCCATGGACTGGCTTCGAATAGTGATCCTCAGTTCTCAGCCTCCTGAGTAGACAGGATGACATGTGTGAGCCACTGGCACTTGGTCACTTTATTTTTCAAATAAAGTCTCACTTTTGCCCTGTCTGGGACAGCCTTGGATTCCCCATCCTCCTGAATAGCTAGCTGGTACTACAGGTGTGTGCCACCATGTTCAACATTGTAATTTCCTTTTGAGTCATCAGCAGGTGTGTTTAGCTCTTGGGACAATACTCCTCTCCTGGGCTCTGAAGACAAGCATCTGGCTCCAGTGCTTTGCTGCCATGTCCCAGAACCCAGGGTCAGCTGTGGACATGGTCTCTAAGGGTATTCAGCACCTAGTCCTTTTTTTTCTTTTGTCAGTCCTGGGCACTGTCCCTGAGCTTTATCACTGAAGGTTAGCGCTCTATCACTTTGAGTCACAGATCCACTTCTGGTTTCCTGGTGGTTCATTCGAGATAAGAGTCTCATGGACCTTCCTGCCTGGGTTGGCTCGGAACCTCAATCCTCAGATCTCAGCCTCCTGAGTAGCTGGGCTGACAGGTGTGAGCCACTGGCGCCTGACCCTCAGGGAAACCTTAGCCAGGCAGGGTTGGATGAGGGGCAGATGCAGGGAGGCTGCCTTGATCTGCTGGATCAGGGGAGGGGGCTGGAGGGGAGAATGAAGGGGACAGGGACAGCTGTGCTGGTCCACTGAGGAAGGAGTCAGGAACAAGGAGCCCCCATACTCTTGTGACCAATCAGGACAGGCCACCATGCAGCAGGAGTAACTTAGAGTGGGACCTGCCTACCCTATCAGGACTTCCACTTTCTCCTGTCACTCCACCCAGCCTGTATGAACCTATTGCTGGCCCACTAGCTGCCCAAGTGCGCCCTCCGCACTGATCACAGGGGAAGTAAGGCCTCGGTGCTCAGGCCTGTAATCCCAGCTACTTACATGGCTGAGCTCTGAGGATCACAATTTGAAGCCAGATGGGACAGGAAAGTCTGTGAGACTTTTATGCCCAACGAACTAGCAAAAAGCCAGACGTGGAGCTGTGGCTCAAGTGGTAGAGCACTAGCTTTGAGCACAAAAGCTCAGGGAGAGTTTCCAGGCCCCAGGTTGGGCACACACACACACACACACACACACACAAAATCAAGAAACAAGCCCTCTTTCCTGCAAAACCAAGGGAACTGTGGTCCACCCATACCCGGGGGGGCAGGGCAGGGTGCCCCTCCAAGCTATTTTCCCCCTCTTTCTTAGTTTATCTGCCAACAGTGAGGGCCAATCGCCTCCTAGGCCCTGGATGTGGATTCCGGAGCCCAGCTTCTCAGAGGCACAGAGGTGGAGGCCCTGTGTGCTGTGGTGTGGACACAGCAAAGGCCGGGATAGGGGTGGGGGTGGCTCCTGGGTGTGGGGTTGGATGTGCTGGAGAATGTTTCCTGGCTGAGTACATGCGGGGCCTGGGTGTGGGGGATGGAGTCCCACCACCCTCCCCAGGTTGAGTTTGCAGCCAGACCTCTGGAGTTGCTGTTTCTGGGAAAGAAGGGCCTGAGAGCCCTGGGCGCGACCCAGGATGGCTCAGGGGGAATCCAGGCTGACAGCCTGGAGGTGCGATCCAGCATTCCAGAGACTACACGAGCTCTGGGCCAGGACCGTCTGGGGGCTTTGGGTCTGGACCATGGAGAGGGGGACTCGGGAAGCAAGGATCAGAGTTGGCAACTTCTGCCATCTTTCCTAAGAGGCCTTTCTTTCTGCTGAGGGCACTGGCCTTTCCCCGGGGCTGTCTGCCCTTGGCAAGCTCTGGGGACCTGGCCAGGGTCGGGGTCAGCTTTGGAAGGACTTCCAACTGTTCACAAGGGAGCAAAAACCCCTCCTGCTCCTTTCTCCTTTTAGTTGATTGTGGGGTTCAAACTTGAGGCCCGGGGCTGTCCTTGAGCTCTTTTGCTCAAGGCTAGTGCTCTACCACATTGAATCACAGCCCGACTTCCATTTTTCTGGTGGTTCATGGGAGATAAGAGTCTTATGGGCTTTCCTGCCCAGGATGGCTTTGAACTGTGATCCTCAGATCTCAGCCTCCTGAGTAGCTGGGATTACAGGCGTGAGCCACCAGCGCCTAGCTAGAGTGAGTCTGTCTTGTGCTTCTGGCACCGCGATGCAGGGCTGAGAGCACTATATGGCTCAGTGGGATATTCTGGGGGTACAAACAGCAACTTGGGGAGGCAGGTCCTCGTCGGGCTCTGGAAGGGCGTGGAGGCGGCCATTCATTACTCGTGGCTGTTTCCGCCACCCACGGGGCTCAGTCCAGGACAGGGTGGTGGGGAAGGGGCTCTGCTGGGCTCTGCACTGTTACCTCCCTTGCACAGCCCTGGCCGGTAACATCAGCTCCCAGCCTCAGTTTTCCCATCTGTAACAATGGGAGATAATGGAGCATTGCTGATAAGAATACTGGGGAGCCAGGTTGGTTGGTTCACGCCTGTCATCCCAGCTACTCAGGAGGCTGAGATCTGAGGATTGAGGTCTGAAGCCAGCTGGGCAGGAAAATCCGTAGGACGCTTACCTCCAATGACCCACCAAAAAGCTGCAAGGGGCACTGTGGGTCAAGTGGTAGAGCGCTAGCCTTGAGCAAAAAGGCTCAGGGACAGTGTCTAGACCCTGAGTTCAGACCCTAGGACTGGCATCCCCCAAAATATCCCAACCTTGGGTGCTTGTTAATGTGGTCTTATGTGGAAATAGACTGTTGTTCTAATAAAGTGAAGATGGGGTGCTGGGTTGGCTCTAATCTAATCTGACTTGGGTCTTGATGAGAAAGAGACACGTGGCCACAGAGACAGACAGACAGACAGACACAGGGAGGAAACGGCCTTGCAATCATGGCGGCAGAGACTGCAGTGGTGTATGTATGTAACCGTGAGCTGAGCGGGGTGGGGGGAGGATGGGACCATCAGAAGTGGGGGGAGGTGAAGAAGGGTCCTCCCTTCCCTGCTCCCAGCCTCCCGAGAGCTCAAGACCCCGCCGCCTCCTTCCTGCCCCACTCCCAATCTCCAGAACTGTATGGGAATTCCCTGTGCTGTGGCACGTGGCCATGGGCAGTGATGAATCCGTGGGTCATGGGTGGGGTGAAGGTGGAACCGTTCTGCTCACCATCTGTGTGATCTCCTCCAATGTGATCTGGTTGTCCCCTGGCTCCTCCTGTGTCAGAGTCCTGCAGAAAAGGAGACAGGTGAACCTTGGCCCAACCTCAGACGCCCCTCCCTCCCCAGCCCAGGCACACAGAGCATGGTGGTCTCGCCACCCCAGGGCGTCTGGGGGCTCCCACGCCTGTCATCCTAGCTACTCAGGAGGCTGAGATCTGAGGATCGTGGTTTGAAGCCAGCCTGGGCAGGAACATCGGTGAGACTCTTAGGGCCAATGAACCGGCAGAAAGCTGGAAATGGAACTGTGGCTCAAGGGGTAGAATGCCAGCCTTAAGTGAAAAAGCTAAGGGACAGCACCCAAGCCCTGAGTTCGAACTCTGGGACAGACAGACAGACAGACAGACAGACACAGACACACAGACACACACCTCAGAGCTCCTCTCCTCTCCCTTCTTCACTGATCCGTTCTTTATGGTCCTCCTGACCCTAGGATAGCTGGGTGGGGGTATGGAGGGCAGAGCCGTGTCTGATTTGCCCATGGGTCTGGCTGCGTAGGTAGCAGGCCATCCTGCATGCGTGTGGCTGCTCCAGGCTTGGGCAGCAGCATGGCTGGAGGCTGCTGGAGGCTGAGCCTTGGTCCCAGCAGAGGAACACAGAGAAGTGGAGATGGCCCAAGGGTGGCCAGAGGTGGGACTGGAAGCAGGTGCTTCACCGTGTGTGCAGGGGTGGGGGAGGGGGGATGTGGTGAGAAGCCACGGTGGACCCTTGACAATCGGGCCTCCTGCTGCTGTGAGGGGACTTAGAGCCATGCGCTCTGCGCTGAGGAGGCTGAGGAGCAGGGCCAGGCCTGGGGTGCGGCAGGGGTGGGTAGAGGGTGGCCCTGGCTGCAGGGACACATATACATGGTGACAGCCTGGGCACAGGTGCACCTGAGGGCTGGAGCAGACTGGCTCTCCTCCAGCCCCACTCTCTTTTCTTTTTCTTTTAGTTGGTCGTGGATCTTGAACTCTGGGCCTGGATGCTGTCCCTGAGCTCTTCAGCTCAAGGCTCGTGGTCTACTATATGAGCCACAGTGTCACTTCAGTTTTCTGGTGGTTAATTGGATGGAAGAGTCTCACAGATGTTCCTGCCCAGGCTAGCTTTGAACTGTGATCCTCAGATCTCAGCCTCCTGAGTAGCTAGGATTATAGACAGGAGCCACTGGTATCTGGCTTAATTTTTGTTAATAGAGTATTGTAGCTATATCTTTTTTTTTTTTTTTTTTGGTGGATCGTGGGGCTTGAACTCTGGGCCTGCTGTCCCTGAGCTCTTCAGCTCAAGGATAGGGCTCTACCACTTGAGCCATAGAGACACTTCTGGTTTTCTGGCGGTTTATTGGAGATAAGAGTCTCTCACGGACTTTCCTTTGCTGGGCTGGCTTTGAACTGTGATCCTCAGATCTCAGCCTGAGTAGCTAGGATTACAGGCATGAGCCACTGGTGCCAGGCTTGTTTCTTTAAGTGCCTGTTTTGGGGCTAGACCTCAGGGCTTGGACGCTGTCCCTGAGCATTTCTGCTTAAGGCTGATGCTCTACCACTTGATCCACACCTCCATTTCTGGGCTTTTTGGAAGTTCATTGGAGATAGGAGTTTCATGGGCTTTCCTGCCTGGGCTGGCATGGAACTGCGATCCTCAGATCTCAGCCTCCTGAGGGGCTGGGATTACAGGTGTGAGCCACTGGCACCTGGCTGCACCAGAACTTTCTACAGTGAGAAACACGGTGGCTGGTGTACACTAGCCACAGGAGACTCAATTGTAATTTTATTCCGTTCTTGTTCACTGAGGCACTCAGACCAGCAGTGAGGCTTAGGCCTTAAGGAAATCAAGGTCTGGTGGGGGATGGACAGATGGACTGGTCACTCGTGTTCTTGTGTCATCTCTCCTCTGACACATCATCCTGAGCAACCCCTCCTCCTGTCTCTGCCCCGGGCCCTGCGGGCCTCATGGAGCTGGGGTCTACACCCTTCTTACCTGATGATGTTGGCCGCTGCCTTCCGCTCCTGGGTCAGGAGTTCGGGATCATGCATGACCTCTTCCAGGAAGCCGATCACCTTACACTTGAGCTCCTCATTGGTTTCAAAGTCCTGTGGAAGAGGGGATGGGGCTCAGGCTAGTATGTCCGAGCCATCCGACAATGCTCTGGGCCTGGCAGCAGGCGGGGGCAACTGCTTGTGTTTCTACGCCAGTGTGGCTGTCCTGTTTCCTCACACACTGAGTCAGGCCTGGCCAAGGTAGGCCTTTTTTTTTTTTTTTTTTTTTTTTGAGGCCAGTCCTGGAGCTTGAGCTCAGGGCCTGCATGCTGTCCCCAAGATTTTTTTTTTTTTGCTGAAGGCTGGTGCTCTACCAATAAAGACACAGCTCCACTTTGGCTGTCTGATGGCTCAGTAGAGCTAAGAGTCTCATGGATTTTCCTGCCCAGGCTGGCTTCAAACTGCGATCCTCAGATCTCAGCCTCCTGAGTAGCTGAGATTACAGAGGTCACCACCAGTGCCCAGCTTACTTTGAGACTTTGAGGTATGAGACCCTTGGGGCACAACTAAGGGCCATTCCTCAGCTGCTGTGCCCCAGGCCACCAGAGGTGGGGTGACCCCAGGTGGGGTGACTGTCCTTGACTCTCTCATGGGGCAGGGTGCGGTGCTGCCCCTGGGCTTCTTCTGTTGGACCCCCTTTGTTGTTCATGGTTACCCTGTAGGGCCCCTGAAGCCCACCTGGCGGGGCTGGGTGTGAGCTGGGGTCTCACCCACCTGTGAGTGCTTGGAGACCCAGTGGCGCAGCACATTGAGCACGCGGTTTGTGGCTGCCCGGCGGATCACGAACTCCTTATCCCCATTGCGCTGGTCAGGGGGAAAGCCTGCCAGGGGATGAGGGGTGGCGGGGGGACAGATTACTACATGGAACGGGGAACTCCTGTCTAGGTTCAGCTCCCAGACCCAATGAACCAGGAGCCTCCCCCACCCCCAACTCTAGCTCTTTTTTGGTGGTTAATTGGAAGTCTCAGATTGTCCTTCCTGGGCTGGCCTTGAACCATGATCCTCAGACCACAGCCTCCTGAGAAGCCGGGATACAGGTGTGAGCCACTGGTGCCCAAATCCCCAGTGTAGTAAATACCCAATGCAGGGCCGTCATGGGCCCCGGGGGTTCCCCACACCAGTGCCCTGGGGTCTGCGCCTGGAGGCTCTGTGAGCAGGGACGCGCGTACCTGTGCTGGCCAGCGACACCCGGCGGTACTTCTCCTTGTTCGGGGTGCCCTCGTTGGCTCCCGCGGTGGCTATGGCGAAAGCAGAGGCAGCGGAGAGGGCGCTGCGGTTGCTGTCCAGCTCCCGACACGAGGTCATCACCACCCCATTGTTGTAGGAAAAGAGGAGGAACTCTGCAGAGAGGAGGGCACCGGCCTTCAGCCATTCCCTGGCCCATCCCTCGGGCAGGCACAAAGCCGGGCCCACATGAGCACTGGGGGCTCACGCCTGCCATCCTCGCTACTCAGGCAGCTGAGATCTGAGAATGGCGGTTTGAAGTCCGCCCGGGAAGGAACATCTGTGAGACTCTTAGCTCTAATGAGCCACCAAAAAAAGCCAGAAGTGGAGCTGTGGTTCAAGTGGTAGAACGCTAGCCTTAAGCAAAACAAGCTCAGGGACTGCACCTAGGCCCTGAGTTCAAGCTCCACGACCGCATTCAATAAACAATAACAACAAACAGCTAAGGGACAGCAAGAGGCCCTGAGTTCAAGGCCCAGGACTGGCAAAAACAAAAGCAGGACGTGTGCAGCCTACACCAGCACCCGAGGGTGCTTGGTAGAGCGGTGGCTGGGAAGGGTGCTGTTATGCCAGACTCTTGGTCTCTCTGTGGCTCTTGATCCGGCCCTTGTCGGCTCTCTAGGTCCTGTGTTCCCGGGCGGCATCCTGAGCTTCTCCTGTCTCATCAGCACGCACAGAGTCTGTGAGCACATTGCCACTCACCATCCATCCACCTGCATGGAAATTCTTCCCTATGCCGCACGGGCTGTGTGAACTTGGGCTAGCCACTTAACCTCTCCAAGTCTCCTTAGTCCTTGGATAATAGGGGGAATGCCATTTCCAATGGTGGATGTAACGCTGAAAGGAGCTGGCATCCGCGAAAGTAGTATGTATCCGATGAAAAGCTGTATAGATGTCTTGTTATGTTATTAATAGCAATAACAGTGACAATAATAAAAATGTTGACAATATTAGAGGTGACCCCAGAAACTTTTTTTTTTTAATTTTGCCAGTCATGGGGCTTGAACTCAGGACCTGCACACTGTCCCTAGCTTCTGTTGCTCAAGGCTAGCGCCCTACCCACTTTAATAACAACTCCACTTCTGGCTTTTTTTGTAATTTATTGGAGACAAAGGTTCATGAACTTTCCTGACCGAGCTTGCTTTGAGCTGGGATACTCAGATCTCAGCTTCTTGAATAGCTAGAATCATGGGCGTGAGCCATTGGCGCCCGGCCTGTCCTCTGATCATTCTGAGTCACAGCTCCACTTCTGGTTTTTCCGGTGGTTAACTGGAGGTAAGAATCTTTTATGGACATTTCAGCCTGGGCTGGCCTCAAACTTCCATTCTGAGATCTCAGCCTCCCGAGTTGCTGGGCTTACAGGTGGGAGCTATGGGTGCCTGGTTGACAGGCTATTTTCTGGCTTGAGGGCACCCAATAGTTACTCTCTAGAAACAGGTTACCACTACTTCCTGGATAGCTGGGGGTCTGGGCCTTGGGCTGACCCCAGTATGTGGGGCTGGGGCCCAGGGAAGGAAGCATGAGGCCAGTAGGGCTGTCCTGGGATTCAGGGCCCTCTGAGCTCTCCTACCTTTGGGGTCTCAGAGCCCTTCTGATGGCAGGTGGTATACTATGGGCACCAGGGACCAGGCTGGCTTTGTGTGTGTGTCAGTCATGGGGCTTGAACTCTGGGTCTGGGTACTGTCCTCAGCTCTTCAGCTCAAGGCGAGCACTCTTACCACTTGAACCACAGCACCACTTCCAGTTTTCTGGTGGTTTATTGGCGATAAGAGTTTCACGGCTGGCTTTGAGTTGTGATCCTCCTATCTGAGCCTCCTAAGTAGCTAGGATTACAGGTGTGAGCCACCAGGGCCCTGCCTCAGGCTAGCCATTTTTTTTTTTTTTTTTTTAGTGGTAGGGCTTGAACTCAGAACCTGGGCACTGTCCCTGAGCTTTTTCACTCAAGGCTAACGCTCTACTACTTGAGCCACAGCTCCACTTCTAGCTTTTTTGGTAGTTCATTAGAGTCTCACAGACTTTCCTGCCTGGGCTGGCTTCAAACCACTATCCTCAATTCTCAGCCTCCTGACTAACTAGGATGACAGGTGTGAGCCATTGATACCCAGCTAGGTTGGTTTTGAGGCCCCTCAGGACTAAATCTGGGATATGGGGTTGACAGTGTCACCACTTCTCAGAGCATTTCTTTTCTTTTTTGCATGGTGAGGACTGAACCTGAGCCCTTGCACGTGGGGAAACAAGCGCTCTACTTCTGAGCTACATGCTCAGCCCCTGGGCTCTCTATGAACCTGTTAAGAAAAAGGCTGTAGCTGGGCATCAGAGAATGTCTGCAGCCAGAGGAAACCCTGGATTACAACCTGCATTCTATCAAGATTCTGAAAAGCTAGGCACTAGTGGCTCATGCCTGCCATCCTAGCTACCAGAAGACAGATCTGACGATCAGTGGTTGGAAGCCAGCCCAGGCAGGGAAGTTTGTGAGACTCTTATCTCCAACGGACCAGCAAAAAACCAGAAGTGGGGATGTGACCCAAGTGGTAGAGCACCAGTCTTGAGTGAAAAAAACCAAGCGGCAGCACCCAGGCCCTGGATTCAAGCCCCAGTACCAGCACACACACCACACACACACACACACACACACACACATCCCAGGAAACACAACTGCTCCAGTTTTCCCAGGAGGAAGACATGGGTGCTGTACCCTGCCAGTGAATCAGTGGCTGAGCTGTACTCCAGCCAATGGTGGGTGGCTTCATTAAGTCCAGAAGAAAAACAGAATCCACCTAGCCTACATTCCAGCACCCACAGCCTCTCGGTTGTGAAACGGTGGAATTGTCCCTAACGTGGAAGTCACTCATCAAATGCACAGAGCCGGGCCCTGGTGGCTCACACCTGGAACCCAGGCTGCTCAGGAGGGTAAGATCTGAGGATCACAGTTCGAAGCTAGCTCAGACTGGCCCAGTTAACCAGCAAAAAGCCAGAAGCAGATGTGTGGCTTTCCTTGAGTGGAAAAGCCAAGGGAGAGTGCAAGGCCCTGAGTTCAAGCTCTAGAAATCAGTACAAGACAAAACACCCCAAACTACATGCAGCCGCCAGGGCCAACCTGACCCCCTCTCCCCCGGGAATCCTAACCCGCACCTGAAGAGTTTTTGCTTTTGATGGATTTGGGTGTTGTGGGAGACTTAGTCGGCGATGTCTCGGCGTCCCCTTCATCGCTCTGGTTCTGGTCACCGTCTGACTCTTCTCTTACAGAGACTTCGGAGTCTGGGAGGAAAGACAGAGATTTCCATTCTTAATTATTCTTGGATCTGAGCATTCCTGCCTATAATGCCTCATGGCGAGGTGGAGCAGTTAGTAGGGTCATCCTGAATGAAGGATGCTGTATGGCTGGGTTTGTCACAGGCCTTATCAGAACCTTCACATCACCCAGCACCCGGTGACTCTCCAACAGGGCGTTTGCGGTAGCTGGACTTCTCTGGATTTTCCTTTTTCTCTCTCTCTTCTTTCTGCCCTCCCTCCTTTCCTTTCTTCCTTTGTGTTGGTACTAGGACTTGAACTCAGAGCCTTGAGCTCTCCCCCAACATTTTTTCCTCTCAAGATTGGCACTCTATCACTTGAACCACACCTCCACTTCTGTCTTTTTTCTGGTTAATTGGAGATAAGAGTCTCACAGAGGGCTGGGAAGGTGGCTTACTGGTAGACTGCTTGCCTAGCATGCATGAAGCCCTGGGTTTGATTCCTCTGTACCACACATACAGAAAAAGCTTGAAGTAGTGCTGTGGCTTAAGTGGTAGAGTGTTAGCCTTGAGCAAAAGCAGCTCAGGGACAGTGCCCAGGTCCTGGTTCAAGCCCAGGACTGGTAAAAAAAAGAAAAGTTACAGACTTGGGGCTGGAAAGGTGGTCCAGTGGTAGAGCGCTTGCCTTGCATGCATGAGGCCCTGGGTTTGATTCCTCAGCACCACATAAGCAAAAAGAAAAAAGCCGGAAGTGGCGCTGTGGCTCAAGTGGTAGAGCGCTAGCCTTGAGCTGAAGAGCTGAGGGACAGCGCCCAGGCCCAGAGTTCAGGCCCCACGACTAGACCCCCCCCCAAAAAAAAACTCTTACTTCCAATGAACCAGCAAAAAGTCAGCAGTGGCGCTGTGGCTCATTTAACATGGTAGAGCGCTAGCCTGAGTGAAGACGCACAGGGACATTGGCCCAGGCCCTGAGTTCAAGCCCCACAACTGATTAAAAAAAAAAAAAAGCCGGGTGCCTGTGGCTCTCGCCTGTCATCCTAGCTACTCAGGAGGCTGAGATCTGAGGATCCCGGTTCAAAGCCAGGCCGGGCAGGAAAGACTGTGAGACTCCAATCCAATAAACCACCAGAAAACCGGAAATGATGCTGTAGCTCAAGTGGTAGAGCACTCGCCTTGAACTGAAGAGCTGAGGGACAGCGCCCAGGCCCAGATTCAGGCCCACAACCGACAAAAATAAATAAACAAATAAAAATAAAAAGAACAAAGCTAGCTGGGCGCCAGTGGCTCATACTTGTAATCCTAGTTACTCAGGAGGCTGAGATCTGAGGACTGTGGTTCAAAGCCAGCCAGGGCAGGAAAGGCTCTTATCTCCAATAAACCACCAGAAAACCAGAAGTGGCGCTGTGGCTCAAGTGGTAGAGCACTAGCCTTGAGCTGAAGAGCTGAGGGACAGTGCCCAGGCCCAGAGTTCAGGCCCCACGACAGACAAAAAAAGAAAAAAGAAAAAAAAAGAATAAACAGAGCTAAGCTGGGTGCTGGTGGCTCATGCTTTTAATCCCAGCTACTGAGGTTAAGTTCTGAGGATGGAGGTTTGAAGTCAGCCTAGGCAGGAAAGTTTGTGAGACTCATCTCCAATGAACCAGCAAAAAGTCAGCAGTGGCGCTGTGGCTCATTTAACATGGTAGAGCGCTAGCCCTGAGTGAAGACGCACAGGGACATTGGCCCAGGCCCTGAGTTCAAGCCCCACAACTGATTAAAAAAAAAAAAAGCCGGGTGCCTGTGGCTCTCGCCTGTCATCCTAGCTACTCAGGAGGCTGAGATCTGAGGATTGCCGCTCAAAGCCAGGCCGGGCAGGAAAGTCCGTGAGACTCTTATCTCCAATAAACCACCAAAAAACCAGAAGTGGCATTGTGTCTCAAGTGGTAGAGCGCTCTCCCAGATTTCAAGCCCATGACCTACGACAACAACAGAAACAGCCTCACAGACTTTCCTGCCTGGGCTTGGGTTTGAACTTTGATCCTCAGCTCTCAGCCTCCGGAGCAGCTAGGATGACAGCTGATGTTTAGCTGAAGTAGGCCGCTCAGCTCCAGGTGGGGTTACTCTGCCATCCCTACCTGGCTGCCCCCCTCCTCGTCTCCCCCCCCCAGTCCTCCCCCTCGGTCTGTAAGACCCAAGAACAAGCCAGAGGCCCCCAAGGCTGAGCCCCAGCCTGGCGGGCCCTGTGTGCACGCACTCTGCTTGCAGAAGGGCAAGGGCTCCTCCGGCTTCTCCGGGGCTGCGTCACCCTCGTCTGGGATCTTGTTGGCGAAGCTGCTGGCCACGTAGAGCTTGCTGGTGTCCAGCGTGGCCTTGCCGAAGGGCGACATGGCGGAGTACATGCTGGTGTAGCCGTTGGAGCTGCAGCTGAGGGCGGCCAGGTCCAGCGCCTTGCCGCCCGTGATGATGGGGATGTTGAGGGACAGCTTTCGCCGGCGGCGGCTGGGCGACGATGTGCTGATGGCCAGGGGCGGGGGTGAGGAGAACTTGCGGGTGGCACGGGGGGACTTGGGGGGCTCGCCGTACAGAAGCTTGTTGTTCTGGCCGCTGGCAAACAGCAGCTCCAGAGACCTGGAGGGAGGCAAGCAAATCGTGGTCAGTGTGAAGTCTGGGTGTCTCTGAGCCGCTTCCTGACTGGGCCAAGGCTGGGGGGGGCAGGGACAGCAGGGGTCCCCTCATTCCTCTGATCTCAGAAATGGTGGGGGGGGCTGATGATCAGAGCAGGAGCCATGTGCTCCAAGAGCTGGAGGGGGGGCAAGGTTTTCTATGTACAGTCCTTTTCTTTTCATGCCAGTACTGAGACTTGAACTCAGGACCTGAGAGCTTTCCCTGAGCATTTTATTTTTTGGCTCAAGGTTGGTGCTCTACCACTTGAGACACAGCTCCATTCCTGGCTCTTTGTGTGGTTCATTTGAGCTTTTTCTGCCCCAATTGGCTTTGAATGGTGATCCCCAGATCTCAGGCTCCTGCGTAGCTGGGATTACAGGCATGCGCCTCTGTGCTTGGCCTACATGCAGTATCTTGCTCTGGGTGGTCTGGGTGGAGGTGTGGCTTTTGTGGCTGTGGGGGGGGGCTATCTGATGCTCTATTTCCTGCATCCCTCTGGCTGGATCTGCAAACCGTCCCTCCATCTTACACAGGGATGGGGGTGGGGGGCTAAGTTCATCTTTGTACACACTCTCCGTCCTTAGAATTGTCCTGAGGGCAGAGCAGGCTCAGAGACAGGAAGTCACTCATCCAACGCCTCCGACTCCCAACCCAGCGTTCTGTCCTTACCATGTCATTGGAAGGTCAGGGTGGCCTGCCCGCCCTTTGCCGGGCCCAATGCGCCCCAAAGGGCTCCTTTCTCTCCAGGTAAACTGTGTCTAAGCAGTGTGTGCTAGGGCTTGAATTCAGAGCCTTGAGCTCTGGCCTAGCTTTTTCTGCTCAAGGCTGGCGCTTTACCACTTGAACCACGATCTCCACGTCTGGCTTCTTGGTAGTTAATTGGATCTGGGAGTCTCACAGACTTTCATGGCTCTGAACCATGATCCTCAGATCTGTCTCCTGAGAAGCTGGGATTACAGGCGTGAGTGACCGGAGCCTGCTCTTTCCCTTTGCTTTTCTCTTTCCCTTCCTTCCACTGAAGGATAGGGCTGGGTTCTCTGCTCCCCAGAGGAGGCCGGAGGGAAAGAGGAAAGGGGAGAAGAGCAAGGGTGCTCCCCAGACTCCTCCCCCCAGCGCAGGGGGAGGTGGAGCAGCCTGGCCTGGCCTGCCTGGGCTGGGGGCGGGGAGAGCCCCAAGCTCCATACAGAGTTATTTTATTTTTTGCAATACAGAGTTTGAACTCAGAGTATCATGCTTGCTAGCTAGGTGCTCTAGCACTTGAGCTATACCTCCATTTCCTGCGTTTCGCTGGTTAATTGGAGATTTCCTGTCCAGGCTGGTTTCAAACCTCAATCGTCATTATCTCAGCCATTGGAGAGCTGTAATTACAGGTGTGAGCCGCTAGTGCCTGACTTGCCTCAGTCCCTTTGGAGATAAGGTCTCACATTCTCTTTGGGCTGGCCTGGATTATACTCCTACCTACCGCCTCCTAAGTAGCTGGTATCACAAACATAAATCACCATGCTCAGCTTGTTGGTTGAGATTGGGTCTCACTAAGTTTCTGCCAAGGCTGGTCTTGAACTTGGATCTTCTAGATCTCAGCTTCCTGAGTAGCTAGGATGACAGGTGTGAGCCACCGTGGCCAGCCATAATGTATCCTTGACTCTCACAGTGATCAAGGGAGACAAATACACATTGTATGGATATAGTCATAGTCCCCAACCCCCCTCCCTCCAGCAGGGTCCCTCCCCCGAGCTGATCAGTGCCCACCTGGCAGGGATGGCGCTGATGGGCTTCCTGTAGATGGTGATGAGCTTGTCCAGCACCACCACGGCCGTGGTGAAGACGCGGTAGGAGTGCAGGAAGGTGTTGAGGAAGTCGATGCTGAGGAAGCGGAGGTCGGTCAGCCGCTCCAGCAGCCGCTCCACACTGGCGTAGCGAATCTGCAGGACTTTGCACGAGTTCATGGTCTTGCTGAAGCGAATGTCCACGTCGTCGCAATACAACGAGGCATCCGACCTGAGCCAGGAGGAAGGAGGGAGAGGGGACGCTGATCGGAGCCATGGCGGAGTCATTTCTGTCCCAGTGACAGCCGAGGATGGTCTTACAATGACAGCACAGGTTTTCAAAGGGTGACTTTGCCAGTCATGGGGCTGAGCTCTGGGCCTGGGCGCTGTCCCTCAGCTCTTCAGCTCAAGCCTAGCGCTCCACCACTTGAGCCACAGCGCCACTTCTGGCTTTTTCTGCTTATGTGGTGCTGAGGAATCGAACCCAGGACCTCATGCATGCAAGGCAAGCACTCTACCACTGAGCCACCTTCCCAGCCTTTGTGAGACTCTTATTGCTACTTAACCACCAGAAAACCAGAAGTGGCACTGTGACTCAAGTGGTAGAGTGCTAGCATTGAGTGACTAAAGCTCAGAGAGAGTTGCCCAGGCTTTGAGTTCGAGCCCTACCACTGACTAAAACCAAGAAACAGAAAGATCTCCAATGTCTACCGGCTGGTAAACAGACAAATGAAATGTGTTGTGTCTGTTCCTCCCCCCTTCCATTCTCTTCTCCTTGTCCTTCCTTCCTCCCTCCCTTCCCCCTTCCTCCTCTGTCTCTCCTCCGCACAGTCATACTATGTAACCCCAGCTGCTTCAGCCTCTTGCAGTGTAGGGATTACAGGCATGCAGCACCATACCTAGCTTCTAACTTTTTTTTTCTGAGTGTGAAACTCTGCTGCTTTTGGCTGTGAGTGGCCAGCCCTCATGTGGAGTCCTGCGGTGTGGGGAGCGCTCAGTGCAGACTGCACCCCTGCCCTGCGGCTTTTCGCTCCCCAGCTCTTTGAAGGCAGAGGCGGCTGGTTCTGCCACGGTTGTTCAATCTGCAATTTGAGTCTGTATGCCATGGTGGCTGGTTATAGTCAATGTCTTTTCCATCTTATCAGACTTCGTGTGTGTTGGGCAGGGGGTTGAACTTGGGGGTTGAACTCAGGGCTTCTCAGCTTTTACACTCAAGGAGCTCTATCACTTTAGCCACAGCTCCATGGTTGGCTTTTTGCTGGTTAACTGGAGATATAAAGAGTCTCATGGACCTTCCTGCCCGGGCTGACTGCACTGCGGTCTTCAGATCTCAGCCTCCTGCATCAGCTAGGATGACGGGCGTGAGCCTTCAGCACCTGATCCTTCTTTTTAAAAATTTTTTATTTTGGGGCTATATTCCTTATACACTAATGACCCCATCCTTCATGTTTGGTAATTGCTGAAGAGCTTTTCTATTATGGTGGGATATCACTGAAGGATATAGAAATATGTGAATATATGTGTTATTGATAGGGAAATTTGAAATTTTGATTAGAATGAGCTCAATAGAGGACACTCAACCAGGAGCATGAGCTCAACCCAGAAAAGTTGTCATGGTGACAACAGGTTTAGCAACTGCGGTTGCCATGGTGATGACAGATTCAGCACCCACAGCTGTCATAGTGACAACAGGTTTGGTACCATGGTTGTCATGGTGACAACAGGTTCCGTATCTGTGGTGCACTGGGAAGAATACAGGGTAAATGGGTTCTCTGCAGTTTTTGCTGCTTCTGGCTCCTTGTTCTACAGGCCTCAGTCTCCTCTCCAGCGGAATGGGATCACAAGCTCTACCTCAAGAGTGGAGGAAACGGGTTTAAAGGGTTAAACACAGAGCTGGGCACAGGCGATGTAGGAAAGGAGCCATAGTTCCAGTGCACCGGCTCCTCCCCCACCCACAGGAGATGGGAGCCAAAAGGAGCTGAGCCAAGAGCCTTGGTTCCTGTGCTGCTGGAGAGCTGCCTTCGGGGACGGGGAGTGTAGCTTGGTAGTAAAGCACTTGACTGGAATGCACAAGAATCGGGATTCCCCCTAGAGAAAAAGAACTTTCTTTGGAAACACTCATGGTATTTAAAATGTTAATGAACCAATATCCAATCTGCATCAGTGTCTTCAATGAGCGGCAAGATAAAGATTTCTTTTTATGGTAAGAAAAACATGAAAAAGAAAAAAGAAAACTTGCTGGGCACCGTGGCTCATGCCTGTAATGTGCACTATGCAGGAGGTTGAGATCTGTGGTTTAAAAAACTGGAAGTGTAGCTGTGGCTCAAGTGGTAGAACACTGGCCTTGAGCTCAAAAGCTCAGGGATAGTTCCCAGGCCCTGAGTTCAAGTCCTGGTATAAAAACAAACAAGCAAACAAAACTCCATTATCCTGAACAAAGCTCAGAATATTATCGACAACTTGGGAGGAGGGAAGCCATTAAAGTGAGAGAAAATGGCACCAACACAGAATGGGCAGAGAGGGTCTGCTGCAGATCTCAAATGGGAGAGGTTCTGGAAAAGCAGCAGTGACAGGAAAGCCAGAAAAGCACCTGCAGATAGAGAGGGCCTACAGGGCTGAGTTGTGACAGAGCTGACGGCTGCAGGGCTTTGCTGGGCAGTCCCCACGCTGACTGCCCCTGCCCCTCACAGCCTGCTTCTGCATGGCTGGCTTGTCTAGAGGGAGCGAATCCACCCATCACAGACCCCAAGGCACCCTGAGCTGCCTGGCATCCCCCGCTGCAGAGAACCCTCTGGCCAACATTTAATTCTAACACCTTCTCTGGAGGTCCCTTCTGTCACCAGAGGGGTAGAGAAAATGGGAAAACGCTTCCCTTCCCAACCTGCCTCTTCTTTCTCTTTCCCCTTTTCTCCCTCCCACTATTTTTTTTTTTTGTGCTGAGACTGGGGCTTGAACTCAGGGTCTCAAGCTCTCATTTGGCTTCTTCTCTCAAGGCTGGTGCTTTACCATTTGAGCCGTACCTCCATTTCTGGCATTTTGTTAGTTACCTGGAGATAAATCAGCATGGATTTATCTGCTCAGATTGGCTTAGAACTTTGAACCTTGGATCTCAGCCTCTTGAGCAGGTAGGACTACAGGTATGAGCTACTGTACGCTGCTTCTCTTCTTCCAATTTCCCTCTTCTCTGTTCCAAACCTCAAAGCACTGTTGGCTGCTGAGCCTCTGATCACCCCAAAATTCTATGAACTTATTCTCAACTTCAACTTCCCTGTGTATAAAATAGGAGATTCGTAACTTGGGTGGAATGCCAGTAGCTCTGTGTGTGTGTGTGTGTGTGTGATCTCTGGTTATTTCCAGATCCAGCTGCAGAGAATGATGAGATCGATTAATTAGGAGCCAGGCCGGTTACTATGGGGATTCACTTAGTAATGTCTGCCAGGCCTCTGGCTTGGAGATCTCTGCCTTTTCCTTCTTGTGTCTTCTGACGGAAATATCTTCTGATGGTAAATTGGGCTTTCCTGCTCCCCCAGCCATTCTTGGTGAAATTTCTGGGTGGCACTCTGCCTTGCTGGCATCTGTGGGGACCACTGGCTTGGGAAAGGAGCTTACCTAGGATGTGTGCCCCGAGTCCCCAAGCCTGGGGGGGCATCCCAGTGCTGAGGGACGCTGGTGACACGGCTGCAGAGCCAGTGCAGGAGGGCACAGCGCACTTGGGACTCGGGGACACAACACCTCTAGTTACAGTCTGGTGACAAGGCAGCAGAGCTGAAGCTGGGGCTGTGCAGGACAAGTGGAGGCTGACAGGAACACAGCCAGGGAAGCGCGGGCTCCCCGGCTCCCCAGGTTCAGGTCCTGCACCCTTCTCCAGCCAGAGCAGGAAGCCAGGGGGAACCCAACACCCCTGTGTCACCCCAGGAAACCCACCGCCTTGCCACCCCCGCCCATCTCAACAGCCCCATTTCTCACCACCCAGCTCACAAATCACTTACTTTTGAGAAATTCCAATTGTGCTATTAAAAAAAAGAATAAGTTGGGCGCCAGTGGCTCACGCCTGTCATCCCAGCTACTCAGGAGGCTGAGATCTGAGGATCGTGGTTTAAAGGCAGCCTGGCTGGGCAGGGCATTCTGGGAAGAGGGACTCAGGCTCAGGGGCAGGAGTGATAAATAGTTCCGTGGGGCTGTGGCTCCGAGGGGACTGGTTTGAAATGTCACCAGATGTTACCAGACTGTCTGTCCCCATGGCCTGGGTACAGCAAGGCTCGCGGACCCGGAACAGATGCTCACACAGACTCTTAGTGAGTGCACTGTGAAGGTGGGGTGGTGGGAGAGGTGGGTGGAGTGGGGGTGGGGGTGGAAGACACAGCTCGCTCTCCCTGCAGCCCCCCCAATGCTTGCTGATGGAGTAAACATCAAAGACCCAGCACAGAAGCTAGACCACATGTGGGGGTGTGGCTGATGCATTGCCAGATGCACGGTGCACCTGCCCAGCCACACTGGCCCATCCGCCAGCCTAACTTGTAGTTTTTGCCAAAACTTGCTTCTCCTGGGTTAGATGGTCTCTTGGGAGACCAACACAGGAGCCACCAATGGCTGGCTGGCAGGGTGAAAGACCTCATGAATATTCAGTGTCCCACATGTCCACCCACCCCAGGAATATTCAATGAGCCCAATACCTCACAGATACTAATTGTGTCATGAATATTTAGCTTCCCTCTGGTCTTTCTGTACTTTTTTCTCTTCCACATACAGCTGCTGTAATGTACTCTCTGTATACCAGGTCTCGCAAGCTGTTGGTTCTTGCAGTTCATCTCATCTTTCCTTCTGGCTTATTTTATTTTTGGTGCCAGTCCTGGGACTTGAACTCAGGGCCTGGGCACTATCTCTGAGCTTTTTCACTCAAAACTGGCTTCCTACCACTGGAGCCACAGCTTCACTTCTGGGTTTATGCTGGCTAGCTGGAGATAAAGAGTCTAAGGGACTTTCCTGCCTTAGGCTGGTTTTAAACCAGGATTGTCATCTCGCAGCCTCCTGAGCAATTAGGATGTGGTTTTTGTTTGAATGCTGAATCAGGATCTGGAAGACAAGAAGGCAGGATGATCTCACCCTGGCAGAGTGAGGATCCTGGCTCAGGAAGGTTTGTTGGTGGGCATGCGCAGAGGAAGGCCGTGACTCCAAGCCTACCTCTTCCTGCTGGGGCCAAACCTGCAGCCTTTTTTTTTTTTTTTTTTTTGGTTGGTCATGGGGCCTGAACTCTGGGCCTGCGCGCTGTCCCTCAGCTCTTCAGCTCAAGGCAAGCACTCTACCACTTGAACTACAATGCCACTTCTGGTTTTCTGGTGGTTTATTGGAGATAAGAGTCTCATGGACTTTCCTGCCTGGTCTGGCTTTGAACTGCGACCCTGGGATCTCAGCCTCCTGCGTAGCTAGGATTACAGGTGTGAGCCAGCAGCACCAGCCTACAGTATTTTTCTGCCAACACCAGGGCTTCTTGCATGCTAGGCAAGCACTCTACCACCAAGCCACATTCCCAGCCAATTTTTTTTAAATTTCCATAGATATTATTTTATATGATCAGAGACACATACATAGGCATTGTGCCTTTGTTTCTCCCCTAAGAATGTTCTCCTTTGGTTTCACTCTGTGCTAATGCCTAGAATACTATATAATTTATCATGTCCTATTGTGTTTAGATCTAGCTTCTGCAAATGAGAGAATACATGCACCTTTTGTATCTCTGAACTTGACTTACCAAACTTAACGTGATTTGTTCTAGGTCCATCCATTTCCCTGCAAATAGTACTCTTTCTAATGGCTGTGTAAAATTTCATTGTGTTTAGGTACCACTTTTTTTTTTTAGCTGGTCCTGGGGCTTGAACTCAGGGCCTGGGCACTGTCCCTGAGTTCTTTTGTACAAGGCTAGCACTCTATCACTTTGAGCCACAGCTCCATTTCTGGTTTTCTGGTCGTCGTTAATTGGAGATGAGCGTCTCATGGACTTTAAAGCCTGGGGTGGCTTCAAACAGCAGTCCTTAGATCTCAGCCTCCTCAGTAGCTAGGATTACAGGTGTGAGCCACCAACTCAGGCTCCTATTACTGTCAGAAAATAATCCACAGGTATGAAACAAACTGTAACGAAGATAATTAATTAATCCAAACACACATGAACTCAAAACAAGCATGTTAGAAAGTAAACGTCTCAACCCGCCCAAGGGAGACCCAGTGTCCTCTGAGCCCCAGGCACCGGTCATCTGCCGGTAACAGACGCCACACGCAGCGAGCTCAGGACAGGAGAAGGACTTACTTGATCATCTGTGGGACGGTGACCTTGGAGTTTTCTTCAAATGCATTCATCATGAGCCCATTACATCGGATGTTGTCCACACACTGGAAAGGAGAGGGGCCAGGGTCACAGCTCTGGGTCCGTTCTGGGACCCAGGCCCGCGTTCGGGGACCCAGGCTCTGATGAATGACAGGATCCTTAGGCTTCAATGGTGTCATCCAGTGGACCAGGGCAAAGTCAACTCGGGGTGTCCCTGGGGCTGTAATCCTAGCTACTCAGGAGGCTGAGATCTGAGGATTATAGTTTGAAGCCAGCTTGGGCAGAAAAGTCTGAGATGTGTATCTCCAACTACCCATCAAAGAGCTGGAAGTGGAGGTGTGCCTCTAGTGGTAGAGCACTAGCTTCAAGCGAAAAATCTCAGTGCAAGCCCTAGTAGACAGACAGACAGATAGACACAGACACAGACACACACACATACACCCAGAGCCTGATCCCTCCCTGCTTTTCCAGGCCTTGGGATGAGGCAGGCAGGCTGGAAGGCAAGCAGGAGGGCAGAGGGGCGGGCAGGGAAGCCTGTTAAGTGGGGTGCAAAGCTGAGGAAGGAGCTGGCAAGCAAGGGGGTTTGGGGGCAGTGGACCAGTGCTCCAAGTTCCATGGGGACTGACCTCCCCCAGCCCTGAGCAGTAGGAAGGAGGAGCCGTTCCATTCCCAGCCCCGTTCCTTCCAAGTCTGCTTCTGCCATCAGTTCTATGACCCTTTCCCAGCCAGCACCTTGCTCCTCACACTTCCAGTACCCACAAGCCCTTGTGGTCTCCTGACCAGGGATGACCCCTTCCCAGACAGCACCCTGCTCCTTGTACTTCTGGTACCCAGAAGCCCTTGCAGTCTGCTGACCTCTTGACCGTTCCAGGAGCCGCTCTCCAATGTGGGTAGCGGGCACCCCCCCCGTCCCCAAACATGTCAGACACTGTTCTTGACCCTGGAGAGCTGCATGGCTCTCTCTCCGAGCTTTCTGTCTCATCTAACAGCCGTGGCAGGTGGTGTTCAAGACTTTTCTGTGTGTATTCCAATATCCTGGGGCTTGTACTGAGATTTTTTTTGGTCACGGAGATTGAACCTGGGTGCTGTCCCTGGGCGCTTTTGCTCAAGGCCAGCACTCTACCACTTTGAGCCACAGCACCATTTCTGGCTTTCTGGTGTTTTATTGGGGATAGAGTCTAACGCACTTTCCTGCCTAGTCTGGTTTTGAGCTGTGATCCTCAGCCTCCCGAGCAGCTTGGATCACAGGTGTGAGCCTCCAGTGCTTGGTTTCTCAGACTATACGCTGAAGCTGGCCCACAGGACTTTGCAGTTAGATGGTTGAGCTGGGCCTGGGTTGGTATTGTGGGCCTGGAAGTCTCTTCTAGCAGAGTGGCATACCTAGTCATCTTTCTGTCACCTCCCTCACCCTCAGGTACTTGAAGAAATAGCGACACTGCTCACCTGGCTGATGTCACTTGTCCATGCTGCCTTCTCTTGTCTGGAAGAAGCCACCAGGATGACAGTGAAGGGCGGGGATTCCTTTGGCTCCACCCCGATCTTAAAATCCAAGTGCTCAATGTCCTGGCCGGATCCTTTGGCTTCCAGTGGCAAAGCACGAAGTTAGCGGAGTGAGTGTGGGAGCTTAGGGGATTGGAAGACTTTATTTTCCTTTGTGCTGGTCCTGGGGCCTGAACTCAGGGTCAGGGGGCTCTCCCTAAGTGGTTTCACTCAAGGCTAGTGCTCTACCACTTGAGCAGCAGATCTGGACCTTTTGTTGGTTCACTGGGGATAAGTCTTATGGACTTTCCTGCCCAGGCTGGCTTTAAACCACAATCTTCAGATCTCAGCCTCCCGAGTAGCTGGGATGACAGTTGTGAGCCACCACCCAGTGGAACTGAGATTTTTGAGGTAGGACTTAGCTGACATCCTCTAGCACAGGGCACACTCTAGGTCTGCACCCAAGGTGATGCCCAGACTGGCAATTAACTTCCATGTCTTAAACTTTTATGGGCTGGGCTGGAACACGCCAATGCAAAAGTAAATTGTAGGGATTTTTATTACTCCTTGAATTGAAAATCAAAGACAGGGTCTCCAGTGTGCTAGCTCTAAACCCTCGTAAGCTGTTTATTGGAGAAAACACGGCCTGAGTTTTAAAGGTTCTTTTTAACAAGTTTGTATTCAACAAGGGTGCACTTGAGTGGTGTGGACTGTCGACTCCAGCTCTGGGCTGTTTCTCAACTCACTGTTGTGTGACCCACAAATGGAGAGACTGAGAGCTGGAGCCGATGGCTCTCTCCTGTAATCCTAGCTACTTAGGAAGCTGAGATCGGAGGATCAAGGTTCAAAGCCAGCTCCCAGAGGAAAAGTCCTTGAGACTCTTATCTCCAATGAACCACCAAAAAAGCTGACGTGGAGCTATGACTCAAGTGGTAGGATGCCAGCCTTGAGTAAAAAAGCTAAGAGACAGTTTCCAGGCCCTGAGTTCAAGCCCCACTACCAACACACACGCACACACACGCACACACACACACACACACGTGCACACACTTGAGCACACACACACAGGCGCAGCCAATGCTGAGCTGACTTCCGCAGGAATGTGTGTGTGTGTGGGTGTGAATGTGTGGGTGTGCAGGTGTTCTACACTGACCTTCCTCGTCTGTGCTCTCCGCGTCTTCCAGCAAGGTGCAGTCAATGAGGGATATGACTCCATTCTGAAAAAGAGCAGCCCATCACTGGATGGGGGTTGGGAGGTCTTTCCCAGGCACCTATGTGTCCGTGTGTGTACACTTGCACGCATGGCGTGAGCGTGCCAGTCTCGAGGCTGGAACTCAGGGCCTGAGTGCTGTCCCTAATGGTTTTTTTTTTTTTTTTTTCTTTCTCAAGGCTAGTGCTCTCCCATTTGAGCCACAGCTCCACTTCTGGCTCTTTACTGGTGAATCGGAGATAAAAGAGTCTCAGGCTTTTCTGCCCTGAAGGAGGATCCTCCGATCTGTAGCCTCAGCTTGGATGACAGGCATGAGCCGCCAGTGTCCAGCTCATAGTCTGTGCGGTTAAAGCAGGGTGTGTGTGTGTGTGTGTGTGTGTGTGTGTGTGTGTGTCCACCGCCCCCAGGGTGGAGCCTGCTGTGACCCTCCCCTCCCCTCCCCCTACCTTGGTCAGGTGGCGCTTCTCCCCTCCCCCTACCTTGGTCAGGTGGCGCTTCTCCCCTCCCCCTACCTTGGTCAGGTGGCGCTTCTCCCCTCCCCCTACCTTGGTCAGGTGGAGCTTCCCTCCGGAGCCTCTGGTGCAGATGATGAGATGTTTGGAGAAGAGGAAGCACTGCCGCTCGCCCTCCTTCTTGAGTGACAGGGACCCCAGGCGCCCCCTGGTGATCTTGCCCTTTTCCGACATGGGCACCTGGATGAGGGACCCTGCGGGAGAGGAGACCCGAGGCTCACTCCCACGATGATGCTGGGGCTCTGGCCTGGCCTGAAGATGGAGGTGAAGGGAGCAGCAGAGGGCTAGACCAGCCCAGCTCCTGCCATCCTCCTCAGGGCAGAAGGTGGAGCTGGGCCTTTCCTCCCAGCCAGGGGTCAAGCCCTTGAAAGCAAATGGATCCTGAGGACCTGCCTTTCCCTTCCACCCCCTCCCCTGCCGTTGTGTGAGAATGAAGGCTGGGCTGGGGTCTGGGGTGGCAGAGGCTGGACAGCACGGAGGGACCAGCAAGATACATGTAGTCACAGGAGCTAGCATGTGTCAGTCACAGACCTGGCTGCATGCAGAGCCCATCCTCGGCCTGCCTCCGTAGCAGACATCACCACTAAATAACACAGCTGGCTGTGGAGCTTAGACTTGGCCGGTGTCCTCAGGAAGGGGCACGGGGAAGCCACACTGGGGAAAGCGGGTAGCTAGCATGGAGCCCATCTACTATCTCACTCTGGACAATACTTGCATGGAAAGCATCTTGTCCTGTAATTCTCGCTACTCCGGAGGCCGAGGAGGCACATGAGACTCTGATCTCTAATCTGCAAAAAACCCTATGTGGAGCTGTGGCTCAAATGGTAGAGTATCAGCCTTGGAGGAATGAGAGTGCCCAGACCCTGAGTTCAAGCATCAGTGCATGTATGCATAGACGCACGCACACACACACACACACACACACACACGAATCTGGTGCATGGGCTGGGAAGGTGGCTCAGTGGTAGAGTGCTTGCCTTGCATGCCTGAGGCCCTGGGTTTGATTCCTCAGCACCACATAAGCAAAAAGAAAAAAGCCAGAAGTGGTGCTGTGGCTCAAGTGGTAGAGCGCTAGCCTTGAGCTGAAGAGCTGAGGGACAGCGCCCAGGCCCAGAGTTCAGGCCCCACGACCCGACCCCCCCCCCAAAAAAGAATCTGGTGCAGTTTACAGCAGCCAGAAGATGGGCAAGGTTGGCTCTTGGCTGGAGTATCTCCAGGAATCTGAAGAAGGCTGGGGGTCATCTATGAATGCTGGCACCAGTTTCTAGGACCCCGGGCCTGCACAGGCCTTGGTCAGTTTTCACTTTGGGTAGTGGGGGAGCGCATTTTGAGAAAGAGGTCACATCTGAGACAGGCGGGGGGAGGGGTGGAGCCCCACTTCACCTCTCAGATCCCTGACCCCAAGGTGAGCTAGGCCTGGAGGAGAACCAAGAGACTCTGACTTTCCCAAACCCCAGAGAAGGGTGAGTAATGGGCAGAGGAAGGAGTCAGACCCTCTCCTCAGCCTGTGTCCTCATCTCTCAGGGCCTACTTCTTCCCCCAAGGCGCCGTGGCTGTGTTTACAGGAGGTCCATGGAAGCTATGAGGTTTGGGCCATGAAGCATGATGTTTCCCTCCGAAAAGAACAGTGAAAATCAACCTGACCCAAACCTCTGTGTAAAGACAGATCCTGACAGTATGACAGCCACGGTGCCCACCTACAGCCCGGGCAAACGCTGCAGTCACAGGAAGCTGCGGGGCCCGCCGTCAGCCCGGGCAAATCTGCAGCAGGCCTGGCACATGCCGGCCAAGCTGCTCCCGGCGTGGCAGGCTGTGGGGGGCGCGGGCACGCTCCACGCACCTTGTCTCACGAAGGTCTGACTGGTGTCCAGGAGGATCTCACAGCCCTCGATGATCATGCGCTCGATAGCCAGGTTCTTCCGGATGTTCTCTGTCTCACTGACCTCATCGTGCATGATCCTGCAGGACAGGAAGCAGAGCCGTGGGCCCCACCCAGAATTCTCAGGTGGGCGCGCACCTGCTAAGTGCTTACTCTGTGCTAACCAATTCCCGTGTGCCACCTGACTTTTTCTTCCTTGAGCCCAGAAAAGAGGGAACAGAAGGTCGCCGCTGAGAAGCAGGCCTATCAGATTTCCAATTCTGAACCCCGTGGAACAGACAGCAGGTCCAGCTCTAGCTACTGGAGCAAGGTCGGAGTCTTTATTTGCCTCTCCCTCATTCTTCGACTGACCTTATTCCTGCCCATAGAATAAGGTTCATTTTCCTGCCTCAGGGCCTTTGCACTCCCCCTCCCCATCTCAATCTTTATATGGATTATCTGTCCAGTGTTGTGTGGGCCTTGGCGATGGCTCAGGGGTAGCGTGCTCTCAGCCAACTTGTGGGAAGGGATCCAAATAATGCAATTTGACTCAATTTGTCTCTGTAATACCTCATCTTTCCAGGAGATGGTGGCATTAAACTTCACGTCAAAAATAGCATGGTTTGGGGGGGACAGGGTTTTGGCTGCCCAATTTGTCTTTGGAGGGTTTCCAGGGTCCTAAGACAGCAGTGAGCAACTTGGGGGTGAGGGGAGGAGGAGGAGTTCTGTACAAATGCCAAGTCTACTCCAAGAGCTGCACAAAGTTTTTTGCTTACTGATGGCTGCAATGGGGCCATGAATGCTACCAAGAGGCCTGGTGAACTTAAAAAGTTCTCCCTGACATTTTCTGGTTTAAATGAGAGGGGGCGTGGCTTGAGCAGGATCTGTGATGAATTTGACCAGAGTGGTAGTGAACAAATGACACAAGGCTCCTCTGAGCCTTAGTTTCCCCCTCAGTGGGATACTGGGTGCTGGGATAAGAGCGGTGGCCCTTTGGGTCATGGCTGTGACCAGTTATCTGGTTCTGCTAGAAGAGGGGCATCTGAATTGGGTTTCTTCTTTCTTTCCTTTTTTTGTGCTGGTCCTGGGGCTTGAACTCAGAGCCTGGGCGCTGTCTCTCAGCTTTTTGCTCAAGGCAGGTGCTCTAACACTGCTCTCTTCCCATAGTTCCTCTTCCCACTTTTTGGCAATTAATTAGAGGTAAGAGTCTCATCAACTTTCCTGCCCAGGCTGGTTTTGAACCTTGATCCTCAGATCTCAGCCTCCTGAGTAGCTGGGATTACAGGCGTGAGCTGCCATGTCCAGCATCCAGCAGTAGTGGTGAGACTTTAAATGCCATCTCCAAGCTGGGCATGACAGGACTTCCCTGACCCTCAACTCCAGACACGGGTTCTCAGAGAACCAGGATCTGGGCAGAGCGCACGGCAGTCCCTGGCAGTGCGCTGTCTCAGGAGATGGGTTGAGTGTCTTGGGTGCCTGGGACAGAGCCCCACCCTTGGGACATGGCGGGACTGTGCCCTCCCTCACCCCCGTATCTCTGGGGTACCTACAGCCCTCTGGCCCCGCGAAGGTGCACTGCGGACAGGGCTCACCTGGACAGCTCCTCCAATTTCGACTTGGCGTAGTCAAGGCTGTTTCGTTCCACGTGTTCATGGGGCGTGTGGGCCAGAAGTTCGTGGAGAGTGAGAATGTACCTGGGGATCTGTGGGCGGCAGGGGACGGGGGGGGGGGACAGACAGGGACAGAGGGATGGGAGCAGAGGAGAGACAGAGCAGCCCATGAAGGCATGAAGTCAGGCCCCAGAGGAGGGCAGGCTATGGTTTGGCCTGGAGCATTGGGATCTGGTGGGAAAAGGAATCCCTGATGGGGTCTCCAGGAATTCCTTCAAGTACCCCAGAGGCCACGCCCAGGAACACAAACCACGCCTCCGAGTCCCAGAAGCTCAAGCCACGCCCCCAGGCCCACCCAGCGGTCACCTGGAACATGGGGTAGGTGAGGAAGGTCTCCAGTGTCCTCTCCTCGCAGTCGGGCTTGGCCTCGTACTGCTTCAGCAGCTTGTCAAAGTCGCGGTTCTGCTTGCAGTGCGCCAGGATCTGCAAGCTGTACTGGTGGTTACGCACGAACTCCTGATAGATGTTCAGCATGGGCAGCAGGATGTCGAACAGATCCGCTGCGAGGAAGGGTGAGATGAAGTGAGAGGACCCCAGGCCTCAGCCCAGCAGCTGCCCGGGTCTGAGCTCCACCCCTGGCCCTGGTGAGGAACCACCGGCCCTCCCTCCCTTCCCTTCCCTTGTTTGTCTCAATACTGGGGCTTGAACTCAGGGCCTGTCCCTTTTACACTCAAGGCTGGTGCTCTGCCACTTGAGCCACACCTCCACTTCCAGTTTTTTTTTTTTTCTGGTTCATTGGCGATAACAGTCTTTCGGATTTTCCTAAGGCTGGTTTTGAACCATGATCCTCAGCTCTCAGCTTCCTGAGTAGCTAAGATGACAGGCATGAGCCACTGGTGCCTGGCTGGGGATACTTATTTTTGGAAGGACTCTAAGAGCCTGTAACAGAAGCTGGCTGCGTGGAGGATGCTCAACATTCTGGAAGACCAGAGCGTCATGCAGCCGTCAAGAGTTCTTTAGTCATGAGAAAACATTTCAGCTATAATTTTAAGGACCAAAAAAAAAAAATCAAAACAACGCACGGCAAGATTCAAACTGTATCATTTGGAATGTTTGCAATTACAGAAATGGGATAAAACCTGCTCAAGATCTGTGCACAGCAGAATCTGGATGGGAACCAGTGGAGTGTTTGCAATTTGGAGGCAGATGATGGGTGATATTTTTAACCGTTTCCTACTTTTTGGGGGGAGAGGGAGTGTTTTTAATGTCCTCCAGTGAGTCTGTGTGCGTTCTTTTTAAACGGGAAATATGGATCAGAAACGAAAAATATTTTGCTTCAACCTAGAAATAGGGCTTTTGACAGTTTGTTGTTTTTTTCCTGTGGGTCCCCCCCTCCCCTGGCCTCTGTGATTTATTGGGTCCCACTTTGCAATGTTTAAGGGAAGATTGTTCTGGGGCTTCTGCCAGGGCTGGCTACTCACCCAGGACCAGCGTGGGCCAGCTGGAGATTCGGGCCTTCAGGCCTTGGTAAAAGATCTGATGCAAAAACATGATTGTCTCGCTGAAAGAGAGAGCATGAGGTGAACAAACTCACCCCGAGCCAAGTCCTGGCCCTCTGAGGGCCCTTCCCGACCTTGGAAGGGTTGGGGCTGGGCAGCACCTGTCCAGAAACTGCCAAACCTCAGGCCTCCAGCTTTAAGAAGTCTCACTGGAGCCTAACACCAAGCTCGGGCTGACTGGTTCAGAACGCACTGCTATGAAGGTGACCGGGGGTCCTGAGATGTGTGGTGGGACCGCATCACTGTAGAAGACAGAGCAAGAGCCACTGCTTATGTGAAAAGACAGGGCTCTTGAGGACCCACGGAGAATGGGCTTCCAGTCCGCCTTATGTCACCTTCCAAGCTGGGTGACTTTGAGCAAGGTGCTTGGAATCTCTGAACTCTGAGTCCTTCTGGATAAAAAGCAGATGACATGAGAAACTCCTGCAGATGGACTGCTTGGACTCGGTGGGGGCCCCCAGGGTCCCCACAAAGGCCCCCTTTGGGGAATCTCAGCCAGAGGAGTCAAAAAGACACTGAAGCTGGAGGCCAGTGGCTCAAGCCTGTAATCCTAGCTACTCAGGAGGCTGAGATTTGAGGATCGTGGTTCAAAGCCAGCCAGGGCAGGAAAGTCCATAAGACTCTTATCTCCAATGAACCACCAGAAAACTGAAAGTGGTCCAGTGGCTCTAGTTGTAGAAGAGCTGAGGGACAGTGTTCAGGCCCGGAGTTCAAGCCCCATGATCAACAAAAAACAAAAACAACCCAAAACACTGAGCGCCCTGTCCCCACATGGATCAGGAGCTTCTGTGATTCGTGTTAGGTATTTTGGAAGCCTGGCCTAGACACTGGCAGCTTGGGCCCTAGGCGGCTGGGAAACAGCCTGGGGTCCAATGCCTGTGCCTGCTCATCTCTGCAGCCCCTCCTGCCATTGGAGGGTCTCCCCAACATGTCCGTGGCCTCTGGTAGCACACCCCATTTATTGAGAGAAAAAAGCCTGAGGCTCAGGGGTGGACCCTCAATGGAAAGGGAAAGGGAGGGGGGAGGGGAGGGGGAAGGGGAAGGGAAGGGGGAGGCGGGAGACTGGAAGGGGGAAAATGGAGGAGGAAGAGGTATTTCAGCTCTGAAAGCAAGTGTTCAAGATGCCCATGGAAGAGAAGGAAGCTTTTTCAACTCAACAAATTAGAAACCTCCGAAGAGAGTACTGTAAGATACACAGGCACTCTTAGAGAAACACTGCAGGTTTGGCTCCAGACTAGAAGGCCAGAAACTCAGTTCACATGGATTCTTTCCATTTCTCAGTGCATATAAAAGTAATGTTTCTACCACACTGTAGGCTACTGACTGTGCAGTAGGATTGAGTTGTGTGTGTGTGTGTGTGTGTGTGTGTGCATGCATGTACACTGATCCTGGGCTTGAACTCAGGGCCTGGGTGCTGTCCCTGAGCTTTTTGCTCAAGGCTAGCCCTTTACCACTTGACCCACAGCTCCATTTCTGGTTTTTTGGTGGTTACTTAGAGATAACACACTCATGGACTTTCCTGCCCAGGCTGGCTTTGAACCACGATCCTCAGATCTCAGCTTCCTGAGTAGCTAGGATTATAGGTGTGAGCCAATGACCTGGCTCACTATTCTTTTTAATTGTACATACCCTAATTAAAACCACTTCGTGGCTAAAAGATGCCAAGGATCACCTGTGCCTTCAGGTGATCTTTTCTTTTTTTGGTAGTACCTTGCATTTAGGATTGCAATCTATTTATCTTCTAGTCCTTTGGGGGGGGGGAACTGCCAATCTCTGGTCTCTGTAGACCATTCCCCAAGAATTGTGCTCTGTCCCCGCTCACAGGGGGTTTATAGTTGGGGGGAGTGTTTGCACCAAAGTGTACTACTGAAGTGTGATGAAGGCTAGCTACAAAAGAGACAGCTGAGGGTCCTCAAACTTCACAGCCAGGGGGCATGGGCCAACAGAAGGAAGGGGCCTGGAAGATGGGGGCAACCAGGGGTGGGTGGGAGTAGCTTTCAGGGACAGGAAGTGAGAAGCTTGCAGAGAGAGAGAAGGAGGGACTTCCAGAGAGAGAAAGAAGTATCCAGAGTTAGGAAGTGGGAGGCATTTGGAGGGGCAGGAAGGAGGAACTAATGAGGTAGGAAGGGGAAGGACCTTCTGGTGACAGGAAAGGGTAGACTTCTGAGAAGAAGTGGGTGGAACTTCCATAAATTGGGAAATGGGAGGAATTCCAGACAGGAAGCAGGCGGGGCTTCTACAGAAGGGGAAGTGGGAGGGGCTTCCAGTGACACGCTTGTAGGGCTTATGACAGGGAAGTAGGTGGAGCTTCTAGAGCCGGATGTGGAGTGGGAGGGACTTCCAGAGACTAGAAAGGGAGGGGTTTCCAGGCAGGAGGTGGCCAGCCCAATCCAGCCCCTTCCCTCCAAGCCTGGAGGTGGGCGCAGGTGGCCCAGGTGCGTGGCAGTGCTGTACCCCTCCCTCACCCCCCTAAGAGCATGGGGCTCCCATTTTAAGTCCCATACTGTCATGTGCACATACCATGCACACCCGTGCACACACCCTGACCCCAAACCTGGCCTCCAGGTCACTGAGTGACAAGGTAGGAGGCACTTGCGAAGGATTTGGGTGTGAGTTGTTGCCCAAACTCACGCTGAAGCTGGGTCCCCTTAATAGGCCGGTATTGAAGAGGTGGCTGGGGTTCTAAGAAGGGGATCACAGGAATCACGGGGAAAGCCAGGTGCTTGTGGCTCTCTCCTGTCATTGTCACTCCACAGGAGGCTGAGATCTGGGGAATCGCAGTTTGAAGCCAGCCTGGTTAGGAAAGTCCTGAGACTCTTATCCCCAGTGAAACACACACACACACACACACACACACACACAACCACAAATAGAACTGTGGCTCAAGCAGTAGAGTGCTAACCTTGAAGACAAAAATCTCATGAACAGTGCCTGAGTTCAAGCCCCAAGACTGTCAATTAAAAGAAAAAAAAAACTTGGGGGAAGGGATTAATGCTGGTACCACAGTGACCTTCCCACCCTCCCCTCCACCCATCTCTCCCTTTCTTCTTTCCTGTCAGGTTCTCAGCCTCCAGTGTTTTTTCATAGTAACACAAAAGGGACTAAGACAATTTCTAACTTTTAAAGATCAATACAAGTTCCTCCTGACTGGAGCTCTCTTGCCATCTTGGGTAGGAGTTAGTCCAATAGCCTCTTCTCTCATAGCTTAACATAGCAACACTAGGTCCATTTAGTAAAGGCAGTAAATAATTAGCCTCCACCTGCCCCCCTTTACCTTGAGACGGCACTCATTTGGGGGGTAGCTATAACCACATAAAGCAGCAAAGAGTGACCTTCAAGTCTAGGCAGCTGGAAGACCTCTTATCTGCCATTTGGGCAGCAGCCAAAAATCCTAGCCCTCCATGATGAAGCCCTGGTCCACATGTCCACGCCCAGGTCTCCGCCTCCTTGCCCCTGTAGGTTATATAGGTCACTGGACACAATAGCCAGCTCTAAGCTTTTGTGAGAAGGGGTCTTGCCAGTGCCTTTGCTGGCAATAAACCTGTCCTTTGTTCTTTGTGCCTGGATATCTGCGTGGTGTTCTGGCAAAGTCTAATAAACTCTAACAGGACCCCAGAGGGTCCTGTGCCATGTCACAGGTCATATTAGCATCTGTGGCCTCTGCCCATGAGATACTGGTGGTAAACCCTGCACTCCCCAACGCTCCAGGTCAGGACAATCCAAAAATATTGCCACGCATCCCTGGAGGACAAATCCTCAGTGGAAAGCTATTGGTTTAACCACACACCATATTAGGCCTACATCTAGATCCCTGCCCCAGGCCCCTGCATTCTTGGTGGCCAGGGTTTTTCTGGCCCAGTGAGCAGCTTTGGAACCCTTCCTCTGATCTCCTGTTGTTCCCCCCCACCCAGGTCCAGTAGGAGTGAGGAGGCCTTGGGCCCCGGCCTTGCCCCACAGTCTTCCCCCCGACCTGCAGTCCCCCCCTTTCCTGCTCCCTGTGGCTTTGCCCTCTGCACCTTGGCCTTTCCTGTGTCCTGCGGCCTTGCCCCGGCTCTGCCCCGTGCCCCTGCCCCTGGCTTTGCCCTGAACCCCGCGGCCTGCAGCCTGGCCCTGCGGCCTTGCACCCCACAGCCTTCCCTGTGGCCTGTGGCCCTGAGCCCCGCGGCCTTGCCACCCTGCAGCCTGGCCCTGCGGCCTTCCCTGCCATGCAGCCTGGCCCTGCGGCCTTGCCCCATGGCCTTCCCCTTGCCCCATGCCCTGCCCCGCGGCCTTCCCCTTGCCCCATGCCCTGCCCCGCGGCCTTCCCCTTGCCCCATGCCCTGCCCCGTGGCCCTCGGCCACTGCTACCTGTTGAGGAAGATGCTGCTGACGTCGTCGTGTGTGATGGGCGGTTTCTTGGAGCTGGCGGCCATGCGCAGCGGGCGCAGGAAGTTGTTGACCAGGATGTGCAGCTGCTGCACGTACTCGGCCTCGGCCTCCAGCATGCTGAACACCACCTGGTTGCGCTTGCGCATGCTGTCGGCATGGGGCGACCGGATGTAGTCCTGAATGATGGTCTTCCACTTGCGGCGGCACAGCCAGCCGCGCAGGAAGCTCTGCACCTGCAGGGCCAGGCAGGCGGGCGGCTGGGTGAGGGGGGCGGCCGGGCCACGGGAAGGGGCCCCAGCTTCGTCCTCACCTCCCAGACACGGGCCACCCCTGGCCCCGCGGCCTGTTTGGGCGGCTTGGACTCAGTTTTCCCAGCTGTAAAATGGACCCCCTTCCTCCCACCGGATGCCTGGACTCCATGGGAATCACGGATTTGGACCAGGATCTCTGGAAATGGAAACTCTTTTTTCCTTTTTGCGGCCCTGGGGCTTGAACTTGGGGCCTGGACACTGTCCCTGAGCTGCTTTGGCTCAAGTGGCTGCAGCGCCACTTCCGGTTTTTTCTGTGCATGTGGTACTGAGGAATCGAACCCAGAGCTTCATGCATGCTAGGCAAGCACTCTGCCACTGCGCCACATTCCCAGCCCTGTTCCTGAGCTTTTGCACTCAAGGCTGGCGCTCCACTACCCAAGCCACAGCGCCACCTCTGGTTTTCTGGGGGTTCGTTTCAGATCTCAGCCTCCTGGGTTGCCAGGATGACAGGGGTGAGCAATAGCGCTTGCTGAGGCCTTCATCTTTCCTTGGGGCTGGGAGGGGGGCAATCTTCTCCTGACTGCACACAGGGCGCTTAGTGGCCCTGGAGCTGGGCTTAGTCAGAGGCCTGGTGCTGTCAGGAATTTAGGAAAGGCCCTTGATAATTTCTGTCTGTCTGTCTCTCTCTCTCACACACACTCACCATTTAAGCTTCTAACCAAGCCCACCTCATTGCTTGCCTTTGCCTCTGCATAGCTGGAGGTCAGGGTCCTTGAAGGGAGGAGACATGGACAAAGGAGTGGGGCGCCTGTACTTAAAGGGCCAGCAGCAGTGGGCAGCAGGCCCCCGTGGCTGTCTCTGAAGACAGGAAAGACTTCAGGGCAGAGCTGGAGACATCTGAGGCTCCAGAAGGAGATGTCAGAGCCAAGGGAGGTGGATTCCAAGGACTTTAAACAAGAAACCCTATCAGAAAGGTATGGTGCAAGCACGGGGTGAGGGGACCAAGCTGCTTAGGCTGGCTTCGAACTGTGATCCTCAGATCCTCAGAGGGCCACCAACTGTCCCTGCTGGGGCTGAGAGGCAGAGTGAGGCAGCCAATGCCTGACTGTGGACTGGGCAGGTCCTGTAGACGCACGTGGCTTGTTGAGATCGTCACAGAGCTCAGTCTCCTGACTTGACATCCAACATGTACAGCCCCTGGGCTGTAAAGCTGCTTTTCCCAGGAGGCCGGGGTAAGGGTTTGGGAGTTGGTATCTGGGAGCCGAACACACTTTGCAAAGACTTGGCTGTGCCAAGTGGAGATGGTAACTTGGCTTCTCTGTGCTTCAGCCTGCGTCTGTGAGATGCAGAGGGGGATGGATCTCAGGAGGCTTTCAGTGAAGAGCCACTTCCTCCACATTGGATCTCAGAATAGAATCTGGCACGTTGAAAGTGGCTAATGCGTATGAGCAATGTCTAGTTTGGGGAAAGCAGAAAGACAGACTTGGGTGTGAAATGTTTAATTTGTTGCACTAGCAACAAATATAAAAGTGTGGGGGGGGAAGCGGTTTAATCCTCCTCAGGAGGCTGAGACTCCAGAGGACAGAGGTACAAAGCCACACCCAGGCAGAAAGTACACCAAACCTTTATCTCCAATGAGCCACCAAAAAACCAGAAGGGAGTGTGGCTCAAGGGATAGAGTACCCTAGTGAAAAAAGCCAACTGGAAGCATGAGGTTCTGAGTTCAAGTCCTAGTACGGGCACAGATTATATGAAGAAAACCCTGCGCTCTGTGGTCTGAGAACCACCTTTGCCCTTGAGGTTGACCTTGGCCTGTGGGGCACATTTGTGGCTTGAGATCACAATGGCCTGGGGTCTTTTCCCCATCCAGACAGGCAGGAAGTCTTCTCTTACTTGCTGGCCTGGGCCAGGCCTCCAGTCTGGCTAGCTGCCCACAACCCAGGCTCCTCCCCCTGGGCCCCAGTGTCACAGGATAGCCCGCGGTGCTGCCACTGCCTTGGCTCCTGGGTGGGTCCCTGCCACCTGCTTGGATGTCTGTCCCCCTGGCTACTCGAACCGGGTCCCAGGTGCAAGCAGAAGGCAAGACTCTCTGCAGAGTGCTGTGCTGGGCTGGATGTGTGTGTACGACAGTGGAGAGGAGCCAAAGGGGCCTTGGTTTTGCAGAGACCCCAAGACTTTGTGCCTTCTACTCTTGCCTTTAAGTGGAACCTCGATTTTCTGATCTGTGAAATAGGCTCAGCCTGCTCTTTCACCCACAGGGGACCGACTTGACAAGTGTCACCAGGGGCTGGTGTGACAGGGCAGAGGAGAGGGGGTAACCCCCTAGGGACATGCAGTGTCCCCCCACCCCTCAGCTGGATCTTTCTAGAAGCCAATAGGAGAACCTGGACCAACCTTCTTGATCTTCTTGATGTCAGTGTCTTCGTCACTGGGGGCAGCAGTCTGGGTGGACTGGATGCGCTCATTGTCCTTGAGCAGTGACGCAATCTGCAATGAAAGCATGCAGCTCAGGAGCAGGCCAAGGGTGGGACGTGTCCTGGGATCAAACATGCCATGGCCTGGGGCTCCAGTGCTGGCTCTGAAGCCAGGCAGACCCCAGGCATCTGCGACACAAGAGCGACAAGCTGGAGACCGGGTTCCTCTCCTCTCCCAACTCCTGTTGTCATTGGCTGTGTGTGTGTGTGTGTGTGTGTGTGTGTGTGTGTGTGTGTCCTGGGCTTTGAACTCAGGGCCTGGGCACTGTTCCTGAGCTTTGTACCCAAGGCTCTACTGTGATCTTCAAATCTCAGCCTCTTGCTTAGCTAGGATTACAGGTGTGAGCCCCCAGTGCCTAGCTTCACTGGCTCTTTTGATTAATATGTTATTAATAAATACATAAGATCTTGCTTCCTAACCAAGACTGGCATTGATTTTTTTTTTGCATAAGCATGAGACTTGAATTCAGGGCTTGGATGATGTCCTTAGCTATTTTTACCCAAGTCTGGTGCTCTACCACTTGAGCCACAGCTCCATTTCTGGCTTTTTGCTGGTTTGTAGGAGACAGGAAAATATTTTAGATTTGTCTGTGCAGGTTGGCTTTAAACTGCAATCCTCTGTGGTTCAAAGCCAGCCTGGCAGGAAAAGTTCATGACACTCTTATCTCCAATGAACTACCAAAGAGACAGAAGTGGAGCTGTGATTCAAGAAGTAAAGTACCAGCCGAGAGCAAAGATACTCAGGAACAGACCCCAGCCCTTGGCTGACACAAAGTAAAACCACACACACACACACACACACACACACACACACACACATTCATACACACACCCCAACTGTGATTCTCGGATCTCAGCTTCGGGAGTATTTTAGGATTACAGATGTGAACCACAAGCATTTGGTACTTTTCGGAATATTTAATCCTAGAGCATTCCACTAAAACAGACTCAGCCACCTTCCCTGCTTTGTAGTTTACCAGGAAGACAGCGGCACCAAGCAGGGATCTTAATAAAAATATCCTTAAAAATTCACTTATTGATCCAGGTGCCTATGGCTCATGCCTATAAGCCCAGCTACTCAGGAAGCTGAGAGCTGAGGTTCGTGGTTTGAAGCCAGCCAGGGTAGGAAAGTCCATGAGATTTTTTATCTCCAATAGACTACTCAGAAAAAGCCAGAAGTGGCACCATGGCTCAAGTGGTAGAGTGCTAGCCTTGAGCAAACGAAGCTCAGAGAATCACTTATTTACAAAGGTTTTATACAGCTCTATAGCAGGTTCCTGTAGGGCCAGGAATGAAGCAGCCCTAGCCCGTGTTCCCAGGGATCTCAGCGCAAAGCAGGAAGAGGAATCATCAGGTGATTCCAGCATTGAATGGGAAGAGCCAAGATTCTGTAGGGCCCTGGGCACAGGCCACTGGCAGAATACTGTCTAGGTAGAGTGCCAGCTTTGAGTGAAAAAGCCATGCATGAGGACGAGGCCCTGAGTTCAAACACACATACACACGCTTGGAAGAATGACAGCCACAAAACACTCAACCACGGGAAAACCCTCAGCAGTCACCGAGTGCCACTCATCTAAAGATAGAAGCCAGGGAGCCGGGAGTGTGCAGCCCACGTGGCCTTCAGGTCTCCTCCAGAGAACTCGCATGAGGCAGGATGAATGGTGCTCATGACTGAGCTCAGGAGGCCCTGGGAGAGCAACCCGGAGTCCGCCCTCCACTCCTCGGTTGCTAAAATTACCCCCCCCCCCACAACCTGAGTGTGCTGGGCCTGGAGAGCCGGCTGAGAATTTCTAATGCAGAGATACCGAGAGACCGGGCTTTTCTCCCTCCTCTCCTCCCCTGCCTTCTTCTAACCCTTCTAGAATGTTTGATCCACTGAAATGGACCCTTGATTCTTTCAGCTCTAGATCTGTGGTTTAAAGGGCAAAGGAAACACGCACGTGTGTGCATGCACGCACACACACACACACACAGGTCAGAGGTTCACACAAGGTTGTCAGTTACTGTGGTCTAATGCTATCAACCCAACCCAGCTTTTTTTCTTTTTCTTTTTTGCTAGTTTTAGGATTTGCACAGTGTATTCTTTTTTCTCTCTGGGATGGTGGTGATGGTGTGTGTGTGTGTGTGTGTACACATAAATGCATATGCATATGTGTCTTTAAAACAGATGATTCTCAGGCTGGGAAGGTGGCTCAGTGGTAGAGTGCTTGCTTTGTATGCATGAGGCCCTGGGTTCGATTCCTTAGCACTACATAAACAGAAAAAGCTGAAAGTGGTGCTGTGGCTCAAGTGGTAGAGCCCAAGCCTTGAGCTGAAGAGCTGAGGGACAGCACCCAGGCCCAGAGTTCAGGCCCCACAACCAACAACAACAACAAAAAAAACAAACCAACGACACATGATTCTCAAGCCAAGCACTGGTGACTCATGCCTGCAATCCCAGCTACTCAGAAGGCTAGGATCTGAAGATCCTGGTTTGAAGCCAGCCCGGGAGATGAGTTCTGAGGGACTCTTATTGAACCATCAAAAAAAAAAAAAAAGCCAAGTGAGGAGGTGTAGCTGAAGTGGTATTGTACCAGCTTTGAGTAAAAAAAGCCAAGCAGGAGCGTGGGCCAGGGTTCAAGCGCCAGCACCAGCACATGAAGACATAAAGTGGATGTTCCCTCCGCCTTTTCTATCTGGGCTGGCTTCAAACCATGATTCTGAGCTCTCAGCCTCCTGAGTGGCTGGGATGATCAGCACCTGGCTTCCTATACCTATTTTTTTTTCCCTAGAACTTTTTTTTTAATGCACATTGTTACAGGAAAATTTTCCAATATGTCACAATAATACAGTGGCAATAACAATGAAAGCAATAACCATATTTCTTCTTGTAAGATGCTTATTGAAACTTTTGTATTTGTTCTAAGTATTATTTATTTTAATCTTCACTACTGCTGTGATTTAAGTTTTGCATTAACCCCACTTTATTAGTGAGCAAATGAAGGCTTTTTAGACTTTGTTTTTCAAATTTACACAACTAAGTCTAGGTTTCTGGACACAAAGTCTGTGGTAGTAATTTTTTAAAAATCCATACCCTTAGTTAACAAATATGTCCTGAAACATTCTGTGGAAATGTCATTAAAGAAAAAATCATAGTTCTTGCAGCTATTTCTTTACAGAGTTTCATTTCAGACAACATACTAATGCAACAAATTGTTAAAATTCAACATTTCAATAGTACCTACTTCTTCCAGTTTTCCTTTTAATGAACTGCTATTCTCTACCAATCTACGAAGCTAGTGATGCATCGCTGTGAAAAGAATACATTCTACAACACAAAGATAACAATAAAAATGCAAATTCAATAAATACAAGCAGTGAAACATCAAAACTTGAAGGTATTCTTGCTGTGATTAATTGTCCCCAGATACTAAATAAGTATCTGCCAAAACACAAAGACCACTAGCCACTAATTGACTAGCTCCAAGTTTGAGGTGTAGGTGTATTTTGAAGAATGAGTAGTTGCCGGGCGCCAGTGGCTCACGCCTGTAATCTTAGCTACTCAGGAGGCTGAGATCTGAGGATTGAGGCTCAAAGCCAGCCCAGGCAGGAAAGTCCATGAAACTCTTATCTCCAATAAACCACCAGAAAACTGGAAGTGGCGCTGTGGCTCAAGTGGTAGAGTGCTAGCCTTGAGCTGAAGAGCTGAGGGACAGCACTCAGGCCCAGAGTTCAAGCCCCACGACCGACCGAAAAAAAAAAAAAAGAATGTACAGTAAGACAGTAAAAGGATTTCTGTAAGGATCATGATAGTTATTTTCAATATCATAATACATTTCAAATTTCATATGTTTTTGCTCTCTCAAACCACTAAAGTTTCCTATAGTCTACTTAAGGGACTTTGAGGAAACACAGTTCCTTGACTTTGTATTCTGAGAAAATTTTAGATTTATAGAATAATTATAAAAGTATTTCAAAGGGCAATTTGTCATTTATCAGTATCTCCTAAGGCTGAAAACCCACAGAACTTTTAGTAGAATTACCAAGGGATGTAATGTTTTAAGTTAAATTGCTGTAGTTCATTGGCTTTATTAATACTCACCAGCATTTTTCACTAATACTCTATTCCCATCACAAAATCTAATCTAGCCTGCTTAGTTATCTTGTCTAAGTACCTAATCTGCAACAATTCCTCTGTCTTTCCTTGTCTTTCATTAATTATGGCCTTGAGGTTTTCAAATATTAACTATTCAAGTAAGAGGCTGGAACAAAGCCTTCCAAGAAAATGGTCCTCATAAAACAGGCTGGGGTAGCAATACTGATATCAGATAAAACATATTTCAGATTATACTTAGAGAAAACAAAGAAGGGCATTTCATATTAATAAAGTGAACTCTCCATTAGATTTCTGTCTGATGTGGTTCTCTGGTCTTGATTATATTCTTTGTGCTGTATTCCTCCATTTAGTATTTTTGTAGTGCTGGCTTCTTGTTCATGAATTCCTTTAATTTTTCTTTCTTTCTTTCTTTCTTTTTTTTTTTTCCTGTCAGTCGTGGGGCTTGAACTCTGGGCCTGGACACTGTCCCTTAGCTCTTCAGCTCAAGGCGAGTGCTCTACCACTTGAGCCACAGCACCACTTTCCGTTTTCTGGTGGTTCATTGGAGATAAGAGTTTCACAGACTTTCCTGCCCAGGCTGGCTTTGAACCATGATCTTCAGATCTCAGCCTCCTGAGTAGCTAGTATTACAGGTGTGAGCCACTGGTGCCCGGCTTAAATTTTCTTTAATATTAAATTATTTAGTTTCTCTATTGAACGTGAATGGTAATTTTGCTGGATAGACCACTTTGGGGTTGACAGTTAATGGTTTTCAGGGATTGGATGGTATTTTTCCAGACTCTCCTTGTATGGAGAGGTCAGCAGTGATTCTAATTTCCTTTCCATTATAGTATAGCTCCTTCTTCGGTTTTACAGCATTTAAAATCAGCTCTTTGAAATTCAGGTCTCGTGTCTTTACTACAATGTGTCTAGAAGTGTTTCTTCTAGGATCCTGTCTTCTAGGTGTTCTGGATGCTTCAGTTATGTCTCTTTTGAGACTGGGGGAGTTTTCTGTAATAATTTTAGCGAATGAATGTTGCATCCCTCTATTCTGGTATTCCTCTCCTTCACCAATCCCAATTATACGGAGATTGGATTTCCTGGCATTGTCTGCCAGGTGTTGGACTTCCCTTTGGCAATTTCTAAGTGTTTTCCCCATATCTATGACTTTCATCTTCAGCTTCTCTGTTTTATCTTTAACTCCTGATAGTCTATATTTATAGTTTCTACATGGATTCTCAGCGTGTTAATTTCATCTTTTAAGGAGGTATGTGCTACGATCATACTTGATTGCATCTCTTTTTTTAGGTCTTGGATGGCCTTTGATTTTTTTTTTTTGGGTCAGTTGTGGGGCTTGAACTCTAGGCCTGGGCACTGTCCCTCAGCTCTTCAGCTTAAGGCTAGCACTCTACCACTTGAGCCACAGCACCACTTCTGGTTTTCTGGTGGTTTATTGGAAATAAGAGTCTCATGGAATTTCCTGCCCAGGCTGGCTCTGAACCATGATCCTCAGATCTCAGCCTCCTGAGTAGCTAGGATGACAGGCGTGAGCCACCGGAGCCCAACTGATATTTCTTCTTTATACTCTTGACATTGCTCTTTTTAATTACTTTGGCCAATTCTGCCATCATTTCTTTATTTAATCTTTTGTTCTCCATTTCTTTGCTCTCACTGGGGAGTTCTTTCCGGGGTTGCAGCTGGAGCATGTGTGTGTGTGTTTCATGGTGTGTGTTTCCTGATTAGGGCACACTTGCTTGTCAGTTCCCAGCGCATTGGGGGCACTGCTCCAGCTGCTAGAGCTTATGCACCATTCCCAGCTCCACTTAGCCAGGGACTGCCGGGAGGCTGCTTAATCCCCGCCAGGGGCACACAGGTGGGGCTGCTGGAGCCTTCCCACAGTTACAGGCGGGCTGGCTTCACAGGCTGCTGGAGCCCGCGTGGTTCCTGGGGTGGTGGTGGGGGCATCCCCCATGGAGGAGTTCCCCGTGGGGTACTCATTAATCCTGGAACTGGTTAGTGGTGCTGTGGCAGGTCGCTGTCTCTGTGTGCTGTAGATCACTAGTTGCCACCTCCCTCTGTTGTGGTAATTCTGGGAGCTTGGGGTCTGGGTTTCATGGTGCCTTGCCTGCGGTCTCTGTCGCTGCCTACACTGTCCAGGTCTGGCGCTGAGGGAGTTTTCTGCGTTTGGGTTCCACGGTCCGCTTGTGGCTCTGAGATCCCAGGTGGCCCCAGGCCAGGCAGCTTTCATGGCTTGGTGGCCAGGAGCTGTGGGGGATGGGGAAGGAGTCTTTGCGCATGTTTTCTGCCCTTGTGCAAGTTTTGAGGTTTTTTTCTTTTCTTTTCTTTGTTCAGTTCCTGTTTTTCTCTGGTTGTTCTCTTTTTTGCTTTTGTCGATCTCATGGGGGAACTGCGTGTTGGAACCTGACTTATCTATTCAGTTGGAAAGAGCTGTGGTGTTTCCCTACTGGTTCATAGCCATCTTGGATCCGCTCCCCTCTACTTATTTTCTATGTTGGGGTTCCATGTAAAGCTAAGATCTCTAGAGTTCCTTCCAGATTCTTTGTAGGAGTTGCAGTGTTTGCTTACAACTCGAGGGCTGCTGTAAGCCTGACCCGAACCTCTTAGCTCTCAAGTGGACTACAGTCACAAAAATTACCAGCCAGCAGAGGCACGCTGGGCAGGCAGGACGTGATTTTCCTATTTCCTTTGTTTTAATCGGGTTCTGGGGGTGCTCTCAGCTTCTTAGATCAACTTAGATGAGAGGAGGACATTAAGATAGAGCCACTTAAACAAAAAGAAAAAGAAGAAACAACCCAGGGTTGGAAGCATGGTTCAGTTGGTAGAGCGCCATGAGCAAAAGCAGAGAGAGAGAGAGAGAACCGCACACAGAGCCACAGAGAAAGAGACAGTCACAGAGACAGGGAGGAAGTGTGTGCCAGAGAGAGACAGAGAGACAGAGAAAGACAAAGACAGAGAGAACTATAGAGAACCACAGTCAGATACAGGGGTGGGAGGAGCCACACAAAGCCACAAAGCCACACAGAGCTACTACGAAACAAAGACAGCCACATTGAGTATACCAGAGACAAAATGATGGGGGGAGGGGGGGAGGGGAGAGCTTTACCCAGCTGGCCTTTCTGAGTGCTGGTTGAGAGCATCTGGCGTGGGGGGGGGGCAGTGCACCCATGGCAAACACTGCTCCAAATTCCACCACATCGGGGTCCTGGCCATCGCCCTAACCCCGCCCACCCTGCCCACAGGGAACCCACTTGCTTCCTGCTCCCCAGCCCCATGGGGGCTGCACCTGCGCCTCCTCTGGTCCATGGAGCCCTGAAACCTCCCTGCCCATGCGCAACCCGGTCCCCACCTTCGTGGCTGCAGAAAGACCCTGCGAGGAGGGCTCACACCACGCGGCTCTGGGTGCCGGTCCCCCGCCATGCCCTGGTAGTGGGGGTTCCCACAGCATGCCAGGCACGAGTGCACTCTGCACCGCCCTTCCCTGGGCCTGGCAGGCATATACAGAACCCGCGTGGGCGCAAGGTGTGGGTTGTGAGCTGTGTGTTTGGGTGTCTGAGGGCCACGGCTAGGCCTGGAGGAGGAGGAGGCGTTTGACCCCTGGCAGGGTTTGGCCATGTGGGAGGTGTGGGGGCGAGCAGGGCATGCCAAATTGAAGTGCCCGCAGATGCCAGGGCTGGAATATGGTGTGGTACGCAGCTCTGCAGCACCAGCTGGTGCTAGGTGACCTCAGAGGAGGGGACTTGGGGTGAGGACGAGATCTGTGGGTGAGACAGGACCTGAGCGCTATCTCTGAGCTTCTATTACTCAAGGCTAATGCTCTACCACTTGAGCCACGGCTCCACTTGTAGCTTCTTTTTGGTGGTTAATTGAAGGAAAATGTCTTAAGACTTTCGTGCCCGGGCTGGCTTTGAACCATGATCCTCAGATCTCAGCCTCCTGTGTGGCTTGGATGACAGTGGATGAACCACTGGTGCACAGCAGATTCTGGGATTTAGGAAGAGGTGAGTGGCACAGGTAGCTCAAACCTCGTCTGACCATAGGGTCTCTCCCCACTCTGCCCATGTCTCCATGTTTTGGATCAGGGGCTGGGGACCGACCCCTTTGCCTCTCCCATCCTGTGTCCTCATCCCACTGGAGCCTGGGGTTTGGGGTGTGGGTCTGGAGCCTTCCCCCCTCCAGCCCCCCGTCCTAAGTCAGTCCCCCTCATGGTCCCCCGTCCTGGTCACCTCTGCCTTCAGCCGTTCGATCTCGATGTCTCCATCCTCAATCTGCTGCCGCAGCTGCTTGGCCACCGTCTTCTCCGTCTCCACAATCTGCAGCAGGTGCAGGTACTTCTGCATGAGGGCCTCATGCTCCGTGGCCAGTGTTCTGTAGCTGTGGACAAAGGGCAGGGCAGGGAGGATGTGACCACACTGCCCCCTGGTGGTTGCCCCAGCCATTGCACCCCGCGTCACACAGACCTCTGCTCCCGCTATCTCCCTCCTTCCTTCCCTCCCTCCCTTCCTTCCTTTCCATCCTTCCTTTTACTGTGCTGGTCCTAGGGCTTGAACGGAGGGTCTGGGCACTGTCCTTGAGCTTTCTGTGCTCAGAGCGACCACTCTACCACTTAAGCCACAGCTCCACTTCTGGAATTTTGATAGTTAATTGGAGATAAGAGTCTCATGGACTTACCTTCCCAGGCTGGCTCTGAACCATGATCCTCAGATCTCAGCCTCCTGAGTAGCTAGGATGACAGGTATGAGCCACCAGAGCCTGGCTCTGCACCTTCTCTCTCTTTTCCTTCCCTCTCTCCCTCCTTTCCACCCTCCCCTTCTGTGCTGCTACTTGGGCTTGGATTCAGGGCCTGGGTGCTGTCCCTTAGCTTTTTCCACTCAAGCCTATACTCTACCACTTGAGTCACAGATCCACTTTTTTTTTGTTGGTTGTGGGGCTTGAACTCTGGGCCTGAGCACTGTCCCTCAGTTCTTCAGTTCAAGGAGAACGCTCAACCACTTGAGCTGCAGCACCACTTCTGTTTTTTTTTTTTGGTGGTTTATTGGAGATAAGAGTTTCATGGACTTTCCTGCCTGGGCTGGCTTTGAACCTCTATCCTCAGATCTCAGCCTCCTGAGTAGCTAGGATTACAAGCGTGAGCCACCGGCGCCTGGCACAGCTCCACTTTTGACATTTTCCTGGTTCATTGGTGATAAGAGTCTCACATACTTTTCTGCCCAGGCTGGCTTTGAACTGTGATCCTCCCGTCTCAGCCTCCTGAGTAGCTGGGATGACAGAAACAGCCACAGCACCCTTCTAGAGAGGAAGCTGGTTTTAGCTCAGCGAGAACCTTGGGAGGATGCACCTGGTCCACAAACCTAATCTCAAAACACCACCCTTGAAAGATCGGCAATGGGGCTGTAAGAGAATTGTTTGGCTCTCACTACTATCTGATCTAAAGGGTGATTTCTCTGCTTCTCTTAGGAAAATAAAAGGCACTTTTTAAACCTTTCCCAACTTCCCAAGACACTTGATTGTCTTTATAAACCAAATTCAGCCTAGAGCAAGGAGTCTGTTTTCACACCATCACACACACCCCTGCCAGTGGGAAAATGCAGCATCTTCATTTGTCTAGTTTTCACTAATGCCACTCACCCCATGCTTCAGATGGTAGTCTCATCTGTAGATGCTCTACCTCCCTTTCTTGTCCCTCTTTTCCCTTCCTTTCCCCTCCCCATTCCTTCCTCTTCATTCCTTCCCCTCCCTCCCCTTCTCCTTCCCTTCTTCCTTCCTCTCTCCCTCCATTACCACTCAGTGTGAGATGCCGCTGGAAGGCTACTGTGTTAAAGGCTTGGTCCCCAGATGATGAGTTTTCTTCAAGAGCAAAAGGCGAGCAGGGGGATGAGAGCTTCTCTGAGAGAAGGGCCCCAAAGATGAGGAGTCTAGGAGGGGCCATTCATGACTGGATCTCCAGCCCAAGGCTAAGGGCAGGTGTGGGAGGGAGCAAGCAGGATTTCGGGGCATTGTCCTAAATTCCCAGCCCACCTGGTGGTGTCTGTGCATACACACGTGACAGGAGCTCTGTGATTTTCATTTTGCAAACCAAATTTTAGATTGGAGGCCTAGAGAGAAGAGGACAGAGCTCACTGAAGAGGAGCTGGAGCTCCTGTGCTGAGAGAAATGAGGGAGCAGAACTTTGGAGGAACATATCTTAAGGTAGAAACACAGAAACAGGAAAAAAAGGAATAAGCTACCCCCAAAAGTCAATAATCATACAACAGTGTCTGAGGGATAATAAGATAGGTGAAACCTCAAATATTAAACTCAAGGAATGATGGTATTGGTGTATGGTGGCTCATGCCTGTAACCTGAAACAGGAAAGAGAAATTCAGTAAAAGTATAGGAAAAAAAAAACAACAATCCAAAATACCCAAATTGAAATTCTGGAAATGAAAAGCTCTATAAGTCAAGAAAAAGTTCAGTTGAAATCTTTATAGTACATACTGGTTTAAATAGAAGGCAGAATGTCAAGGCTTGAAGACAAGAGAGAGGAGATAGAAAAATAAGATAAAGATATAGAAATGAAGTTGAGACTTCTTTAAGAGTCCAAACCTATGCACAATGGGTGAAGGAAGAAGGTGAAGGAGGAAGAAGAGGAGGAGAAGGAGGAGGTAGAGGAGGAGGAGGAGGAGAAGGAGGAGGAGGAGAGCATGCTAAAGACATAAGAAACATAGTCATTAAAGTAGCAGCAGAAAACTTTCCAAATCTTGACTAACTACAGCATTTCCAGTACAAGAGGCCTTTAGGACTCCAAACAGAAAAGACCAGAATAAAACTTCCCCATGTCACATGACAGTTAAAACATTAAGTATATAGAACAAGAAAAGACAATTACAAGCTCCCAGGGAGAAGTTTTATCAGGGCAAACCCATCAGAATGACAGCAGATTTCTCAGTGGGAGACTTAAAAGCCAGGAGGGCGTGGAGGGATGCACTTCAGGTGCTGAAGGAAACTAACTGTCCACCTAGATTACTGTGGCCAGCAAAGACATCATTCATAATTGAAGAAGAAATAAAAATCTTCCATGATAAACACAAACGAAAGCAATTTACAACCACAAAACCATCACTGCAGAAGATACTCAAAGGAATTCTCCACACAGAAGTACAGAAATGTTGCCGTGAAAACATGAGAAAAATAAACTCACCAGGAAAATAGATAAACAAATGAAGATCAGAGAAGGATGGGACATGAGGAGAACAACAAAGCACTATTACTACTACATTACTATTACTACCACATTACTATTACTACCATCACACACACACACACACAGAGGTTTTGGTTTTTTTTTCTGTCAGTCCTGGGGCTTGAACTCAGGGCCTGGTCTCTGTCCTTGAGCTCTTTTTGCTCAAGGATAGCACTCTACCACTTGAGCCACAGTGCTACTTCCACTTTTCTGGTGGTTCATTGGAGCTAAGAGTTTCACAGACTTTCTTGCTCAGGCTGGCATTGAACCATAATCCTCAGATTTTAGCCTCCTGAGTTGCTAAGATTACAGGCATGAGCCACTGGTGCCTGGCTGTATTGTTTGCGTGTGTGTGTGTGTGTGTGTGTGTGTGTGTATGCGTGCACACATGCTCCAGTCTTAGGGCTTGAACTCAGGGCCTGAGTGCTTTCCCTGAGCTTTTTTGTTCAAGGCTAGTGCTCTATCATTTGTGCTTCCATATTTTTGGTGGTTTAATTGGAGATAAGAGTCTCTCATGGACTTTACTGACTAGGTTGGCCTTGAACTCTGATCCTCAGGTTCCAGCCTCTGGAGTATCTGGGGTTATAGGTATGAGCCATCGGTGCCTCACTTACTACATACCTTTCAATGAAAACTCTGAATGCTAATAGACTCAATTCTTCAATCAAAAGACACAGACTAGTTTAAAACAAAACAAAACAAAAACAACCCATGTGCCTCAATGATAGACAAACACAAACTTAAAAAGACAGAAAAAATATTTTCCAAACAAATTCAGCTGGAAAGGAAGCAGAAATAGCCAAACTCATCTGACAAGGCAAACTTTAAATGAAAACCAGTCAGAACTGGGCAGAGAAGGTCATTTTGTGTTGGTAAAGGGAATAACCCATCAGGAGATTTTAACTATAGGAAGTGTGTACACCCCCAAATGTTAGAAACCTAGTTACATAAAAGAAATGCTACTTGGCACAAAAGTTCAGCTAGAATCCTATACAATCATGGTGGAGGAGTTTAATTCCCTGCTCTCAGCAATAGATGGGTCATCTAGACAAAGGAAAATAAAATCAACAAGGAAACTTCAGAATTAATCATCACCGCAGATCACACAGAATTATTTACACCTACAGAATATTCCATCCAACAGGAGCAGAACATACCTTCCTCTCAGCAGCCCATGGAACATTCTCTAAAACAGATCATATTTTAGGACATAAAGCAAGTCTCAACAAACACAAGAAAATTGAAATGATTTACTGTATTTTATCGACTACAATGGAATACATCTAGAAGTCAACAATGAGAGAAATCTCAGAAAACATTTTAACAAGAGTCTGAACCATCTACTTTTGAGCAATCAGAAGGTCACTGAAGAAATAAACAAGAAAACAGAAAATTCTCCAGATGCAGAACTTGGGGGACACAGCAACAGCAGTTTATATGCACAAGTTCACACCTGAAAAAAAAAACCTCTAGAAATTTCAAATAACATAACAATGCCTCTGAAGCTCTTAAAAAATTATACAAGCCAAAACTAAAGGCAAATGGAAAGAAATAATAACAAACCAGGGCAGAAATTAATGAAGTGTAGACCATAAGAACAATAACATTGAATCAATGAAACAAAGTTGGTCCTTTGAAAAGATGAAATGAAGCTGGGTGTGGTGGCTCAAGCCTGTAACTCTAGCTCCTTAGGAAGTAGAGAACAGGGAATTGTGATTTAAGAACAGTTGGAGCAAAAAGAAATCTCCACAATTAGACACAATGTCTCAGTGACAGGGGATGTGCAATGTCTGGGTACAGTGGCAAGGGCCTATTATCCCCAGTGACATGGGGGACACACAAGTTAGGAGGATCAAAGTCCAGGCTAGCCCAGGAATAAAGGAAGACACTACCTTGAAAATAGCCAATGTATAAAAGAGCTGGAAGTGTGACTCAAGTGGCAGCATGCCTGCCTAGAAAATATAGGTTCTGAGTTCAATCACCACCACAACTATTCCTACAAAAAAAAAAAAGATGGGAAAAATGCAAATTCAAAGAGTTAGAGATAAGAAAGAGGAAATCAAGACAAATACCAAAGAAGTTCAGCAAACAATTAAGAGATACTTGGAAAAACCTTTATTTTAATAAACAGGTAAAATTTCAGAAGAAATGG